TTTTTGATATTTTTTGACAAAACTTCCTATATCAAAATTTAATGAAGTCCTTTGACCTCTAGCTAACTTTGGGATGCTTCAAAGGGCCCCTGAAACATCCCAAAGAGAGATGTAAACTAGGTTCATTTGATACATTAAATTACATTGGAAGTATTGTCAAATGAGTACTAGATCTTCTGAGGTTATATTGTATGGTAAATGTTACTTATATAGATATTCTAAAATTTATATGGGGTTCCTAAAATTCTGAAATGTCCTGGTAAGGTGTTATCAGTCATAATTCTAATTATTATCTGCAAGTGTTGTATGTCACAGCAGTAACCACATTACTTTGTCAATTGCATTGTAATCAGATTTTAAATGAGCCTTAAGTTGTCATTATAGACAGTTACGGTTTTATGCTGATGCCTTTGCAAAAAAGCTTCCTCTTCAAGAAGATTAACAGAATTGGATAAATGTAAGTTTCTGACTTTTAGACCATAATGCTGAACTGGGTAAGAAATTAAAGAATCCTAAGGAGAAACCGGATGGCTTCATAAACTGTTAACAAAAAGAGTTAGTTAACAAAAGGACTGAGTAAACTGGTGAAAATGGTTATAAATTTTACAGCTTCTGTCTGAAAAATTACTGGGTTGAGTCCATGTTTTACAGGTGAAAGGAAAAGCTTCCCATCAAACTAATTATGGCCTACAGTAATTTGGTAAATCATACTTTTGTTGGCAGAACTGAAACACTTACCTTTTTTTTCTATCTGCACCTTCCAGATGTTGTAATCTATTAGGTTTCCAGCAGCTTCATCAGATAAATTAGGAAAGATAAATTGGAGAAGGGGACGACAGAGGATGAGATGGTTGGATGGCATCACTGACTCAATGGACATGAGTTTCAGCAAGCTCCGAGAGATGGTGAAGGACAGGGAAGCCTGACGTGCTGTAGTCCACGGGGTCACAGAGCCAGGCATGACTGAGCAACTGAGCAACAAAAGGAAAGCTACCTCACCAACAGGTACAGAAATCTTAAGGTATTTGGGGACCTTGTGAAGGGAGAAGTTCCCCTAGGTCTGTAAGGTGAAACATATAATAAGTCCTTGGCACGATTTTCCTATCCCTGAGAGGTTTTTTTTAAAAAGTTCAGTTTGAAGTTTAAAGTTTGGGGAAAAAAAGTTGTTTGAGACTCCTTATAACAATTTCAGTAAAGCAAAAAGCCTATATGATCAATTATAGTTATATAAATTATCAGGCCAAGATATATTTTTTGAGACCAGATTTATTTTTCAAACAAATTAATCTTAATTTGGATATGTCTGGTAGAAATGAGAGTAATTTTAGAGATTAAAAAGATTATGTTTCAATGAATGTTAAATCCCAGTTATGTAAATGAGGGTCTGTATTTACTCACTCACTTCCCAGATAGTTCCTTGTTGTTATATTAATATGAAGTTAATCAAATTATTAAAAGGACACTCTAGTTTTGTTTCTGAAGCTTATCTCAGTAATCTCTGGATGAAGATCAGATGCTCCATGACCTGCAAACAGGGGATTACATATACCGGAAAAGACATACTTTAAAGGGCTGTCTCCAACCTGGATGGAAGGACTTTTAAATCAAGTATTCTTAACTAGTTCATGTACAGTGAAACTGAAGGGAAATTGACTCTTGGATTAATTCCCACTTCTAAAGGCCCCTATAACTGACTGACCTAGAGAGAGGACTGCTGACCTCAAACTCACCTTAAAACAATGCTCAAGTAGAGGAAACTACACCTACACCAGGAAGAGAAGAAAATGACATGAGAAGTAGGCAGCTTACCAAGATCCTGGACCTGATTTGTGTGATCTTGACTTCTTAGACTTTTGCATATAAATCAAAAATTTTCTATCATGGATATGATATGCTAGTTTTAAAGATCAACCCCAGTTGTTGAGTTGTGGTCAATTATCTGCATCTATTACTTCTAGATTACCTTGGTGGATTTCTCCACTCCAAGAGTCTAATTGGAAGAAAGTTCAGCCCTATTTAGGCTACTCTTGATATTACTAGGTGGAATTCTCTCACCTGGTGGATTAATAATACGTTCTCTGACCCTGGCCATAATATGAATTTTCCTCTAAGCTATTCAAGCTCAATCAGAGCAACAGCAAAAATTCAAGGAATAAAACCTCCCACAATTGTGGGATGGATTTATGACATTAACACTAGGTTGTGGTCATTTCAGATTTAAGCCTCTCTTCTTTATCTTGGGAACAATTAAATTATACTAAGCATAACCAACCTTAGTAACACTAGGAAACTGGGCTAGGAGCCTTATGGACAGTGCATAAAATTTCCCTGAAAGATAAAAATTGGTACAGAATAGTCTAAGTCAGATGACCTGAGAATATACTGGGATGCACTTAGTGTAAGTTCTGGCTTCATTCTTACTTAAGACTTTAATAATATGGCTAGCTATGTTATTTGTACTTGTTTTGTACTTGTTTTACAAGATAGTCATTTCTTGTATTACCATTTGGTAATGTGTGTGACTGAACCTCCAATGAAAATAATAATGACTAAGCAATTTGAAGCAGTTGATGAAATATATAGTTCTGTATGTCATCAGTGACTGTAATAGTGTAACTCTAGATATGGGAAGGTACCACAAGAGGGAATTTTTCCTGGACCATAACAGATTAAGACAAGTTGGTCCAGAGTCCTTTGATTACTACTGATAAGACCTAGTCCAGTAATAGCACACTGAGTGAGTAGCCTATCTTCGAAATTGCCAGCAGACCTAGGAATGAGCCTTCCTTGCACTGTGAAATAGTGAAATAGTCATGAAATGCCTCCTAAAGTCTGGTCAAATTTATGACCATGATGGCACCCTGTCAGCTACAAATTGGTACTTACCAACTGCCTCTACAATGATAAAATCATGCTGCTGCTATTGCTGACCTTCAGCACCCACTGAAAGGAGTTCAGGGTGGAGAGCAGAAATGAGGCACTCTGTGCTTGGGGGAAAAACTGATAGGATAGGTCTTCTATTTCCAGGAGCTGATCTTATGAGTCCAATTCTTGTATCCCCCCATATCTAGAAAAACACTAAAATCCTTCATGGTGACAACTGTTCCTTGTGACTAGCAAAAGTTTTATGGGACTAGTAGAAACCTTCTGGGAAAATATGTGCTTGACTGCATGTATTCCCCCTTCACCAAAATCACATATGTACTGATCTTTCCCCCTGCCTCCTTGGAGAAATTTCTCAGAGCTATCTGAGGTGCTGTCTCCCAGGCTGCAGTCTTCACTTTGCTCCAAATAAAACTTAACTCACAACTCCCATGCTGTGCATTTTTAAAAGTCAACAGTAGGTCTAGATGTCACATATGAAACACGATACTTATGCTTTTTATTAACAGCCACATGGACACTGAACACAGAAATTGCAAATAGCTTCATTTTTATTAAAATATTTAATTAGGTTTAAATATTTTAAAAAGTAAAGAAGTGTCCAGCTCTTCAGAAGGAACTTTGTCTCCATTATTTCCTCTGGAAGAAAAGAATACTGGATTGAGAATGGCCAAGTTTACAGAAACCTACGATCAAAATCAAGGGACTTCAGGAGAGAACAAGATGTCGGAGGAGTAGGTGGACGTGGAGTACATCTCTCCCCACGGATACAAAAGGACTACACCTTCAGACACAGAAGTGCATGCGGAACGCCAGCTGAGAGTGGACAGGAGTACATGACCAGAGGAAAAGAATCTATAGGACCACACAAAACTCGGTAGGATGAAGGAACTAGGGGGAAACACAGGAGTGTTAGAAGGACTGGACCTGCTCTTGTTGGGTGGGGGAACTGAAGCAGGGGTCTGATCCCCACATTGGGGCAATTGTCTGAGTCACAGGAGAAACATTTAAGGCTTGAGAGTGAAACAGCTGATCTGCAATGGAAATGAGAATGGAATGAGAATGGAATGGAATAGAGAATGGAATGAGAATAAATGGAATGAGAATCGGATGGTCATTGTCGCAGGCATACATATGCCAGGCAGGAACGCAGGTCTCCTGGAAGTGTTGTAGGAAGGGGGACCCCCTTCCAGGGCCCGAAGTTGGGCTCTCGTCTAACACTCGGAAAAGAATTGTCTGAGGAGACATGTGCTGACAAAGCAAGAGATTTTATTGGGAAGGGCACCCAGGTGGAGAGCAGGAGGGTAAGAGAATCCAGGAGAACTGCTCTGCCGCGTGACTCGCAGTCTTGGGTTTTATGGTGATGGGATTAGTTTCCGGGTGGTCTTTGGCCAATTATTCTAATTCAGAGTCTTTCCTGGTGGCGCACGCATTGCTCAGCCAAGATGGATGCTAGCAAGAGGGATTCTGGGAAGTGGACGGACAGGTAGTGTTTCCTCTCGACCTTTCCCGAACTCTTCCGGCTGGTGGTGGCTTATTAGTTCCATATTCCTTATCAGGATCTCTTGTCATAAAACAACTCATGCAAATGGTTACTATGGTGCCTGGCCAGGGTGGGCGGTTTCAATCAGTGTGCTTCCCCTAACAGAAGGGGCAGTGGTTGGGAGCTGGAGTTTAGGGATTGAGGAGCAATCCTAGTGTGAGGATTGACTCAGTGTGAGTGTTGACTGCAGAGAGACAGATGGAGGGGAGGTGAGGGAGGAGATTGTGGTGGGAAATGCCTTTGGAGGAAAGCCAGGCAGCCTTGGAAGCAAGGCAATACTGCTGAGTCACACGTAGGGGGTGGAGCCATCACCATAGCCTCTCTCTCCACATGCCAGCATCCACAGCTGAACAATAGAGAGGCTGGCCCATCAAACGCCTGACTCACTGAACTACAGAGTAGGACCCCAGCCAGGGGCCCCCTCTGTGTGCCTGATGTGCTGAGCAACAGAGAAGGACCCCAGGCAAGGGAGCCCTCTAAGGGCCTGAATGGGCGGAGTTACGGAGAAAGACTGGCCAAAGGGGCCTTCTGATCGCCAGCTACAGGAGGCTCGAAAAAAGACTCTGATAGGGCCATGACTCCTGCGGCGGAGGCAGTCTGTGTCCCTGCACACTCGGTGCTGCCAGGGTCATCACAAGCCAAGCAGTTGTGCCGACTTCATGCTCATCTCTTACAGGGGCAGAGCTGCCACAGGCAAAAAAAGTCTTGTGTCTATGCGCACAGGGTCACTTTGGTCTTGTCTGACCCTTTGCAACCCAGTAGACTGTGGCCTGCCAGGCGTCTCTGTCAGGGAGGGCGGTTCCCTAGGCAAGAACACTGCAGCGTATTGGCCGCTACTGGTTGCCATGTGCTCCTAGAGACTATATTGCCTGCTGCCCTAGCTGCCAACCCCCGAGTACCTGGTGCTGCCAGAACCCCTGCAAATCAAGCAGCTGCACCACCTACACACCTGGCCCCCACAGAGGCAGACCCAAGTCCTCCAGGGCAGCCTCAGGAGCAAACCCCAGTGGACAACCCCCGTGCAGAGGTGGAAATAAAGCCACAATTGAAACCCAGGGGCAGTGTGACTAAGGAAGAAGACCCAAAACCTTCCCCCCAGCTGTACAAGCTGCAGATTGAATCCACACGATCAACTAGGCAGACTGTGTCTACGGAATATATAAAAGGCCACTGAGAGCGCCCACAAAAGAAAACGCACTAGTTCTGATAGCTGTGGACACGGGAGGCAAGAACACACAGGAGTAGGACCAGATTAGAATCTGAGCTGCCCCCTCAGCAGGTCCAGAGACCAGCACAGTGTAGGAGGGCATCCTCGGGAGGGGAGGTGGACTGTGACCCCCAGTGAGGGAAAGGAGACGGCAGTGACTCAAGAAAGACATGCATTATTCTTACGTTTTGTTCTATGGATTCTTCTGTAGTTTTTCTTCTCCCCCACCCCATAGTAGTTGCTGATTTTATTGGCACTGTGAAATCTAATTAAGCATCTAAGCTTTTTAAATTTTTTCTCAGTCACAGCTTTTATTGTTGTTATAAACCTCTGCCTCTACATTGGGCTTTTGTAGTTCTGTGGAGTTTTCCTTTTTTCCCCCCTGTTTTCTTTCTTCTTCCTTTTTTTTTCTTTTCTCTTTTTTATAGTTTTAATTTTTGATACCTATTTTTTTTTACATTTATTCCTTTGTTTGCCTTCCCACTGTTCTTTTCCCTTGCAGTTAATCTTCAATGTGTATAAATCTTCATCTACCTCTATTTAACTTTGCATATCTATTCTTCTTTTCTTTTCTTTCTTTCCTGTCCTCTAAATATATTTGTTAGTTTTGTTTTCATTGCTCTATTCCCCACTTGGCAACTTGCTTTAGTTTTGTTTTCCAGTTTGTGCTTTAGTTTTGTTCTTAACTGGTAAATATACTTTTTGATTTTCTTTATTCACAGGGTCAGTCTATTGTCTTTATTTTTGTTGGACTGTTTTGACTTTGCTTGTGGGTGTATATGTATATGTGTATATTCCATTATTTTAATTATTATTTCCCTGATTTTGTAATTGCCATTTGTTTGGCATTCATCTTTGGCTTCTCATTTTTGGATATTTGCTTTAATCTCACTTAATGTTATAACAAACCACTTGTGGTATCTTCGTTTCTGACCAGAGATCAAGCCCTGAGCCTTTGGAGTGGGAGCACTGACTACAAGACCCTAGACCTCTAGAGAACTAACCCTCAGTTCAGTTCAGTTCAGTTGCTCAGTTGTGTCCGACTCTTTGTGACCCCATGGACTGTGGCCCACCAGGCTCCTCCATCCATGGGATTCTCCAGGCAAGAATACTGGAGTGGGTTGCCATTTCCTTCTCCAGGGGATCTTCCCAACCCAGGGATCAAACCCAGGTCTCCCCCATTGCAGGCAGATGCTTTAACATCTAGTATCAAATAGGAGAACTCACACAAAGGAAATCACTTGAATACAAGACCTGGCATCACCCAACCACCAGTAGCACCCTGTGCAGGACGCCTCATCTAAACAACAAACAAAACAAAAATACAAACCCAATCATCAGCAGACAGGATGACCACCTCACTCAGCTTTGCCCATCAGAGGAAAAACAAACAATCAAACAAATCTCACCTAATACAGATGTTTACACAAACCACTGGACCAACCTTCAGAGGTCAGAAACCAAAAGGAAAAAAGAATTCACCCTTGAAGCCTGGGAAAAGGAGACCTCAAACACTAAGTTAAAAAAAAAATGAAAAGGCAGAGAAATACTACACAAATGAAGGAACAAATTAGAAACAGAGAAGTCCAAATAAATGAAGAGGAAATATGCAAATTACCTGAAAAAGAATTCAGAATGATGATAGTAAATATGATCAAAAACCTTGAGAACAAAATGGAGAAAATGCAAGAATCAATTAACAAAGACCTAGAAGAATTAAAGAACAAACATACAGAGACAAACAATACAAATACTAAAATTAAACATACTGTGGAAGGAATCAATAGCAGAATATCTGAAGCAGAAGAACAAATCAGTGAGCTGGAAGATAAAATGATGGAAATAACTTCTGAAGAGCAGAATAAAGTAAAAAGAATGAAAAGAACTGAGGATAATCTCAGAGACCTCTGAGACACTCAAATACACCAAAATTTGAATTATAGGGGTCCCAGAAGAAGAAGAGAAAAGAAAGGGTATGAGAAAATTTTTGAAGAGATTATAGTTGAAAATTTCCCTAATATGGAAAAGGAAATAGTCAAGTCCAAGAGGCACAAAGAGTCCTGTACAGGATAAACCCAAGGAGAAATACGCCAAGACACATACTAATCAAACTAACAAAGACTAAACACAAAGAAAGAACATTAAAAGCAGCAAGGGAGAAGCAACAAGTAGCATACAAGGGAAACCCCATATGCTCAACAGCTGGTCTTCCAGCAGAAACTCTGCAGGCCAGAAGGGAATGGCAGGATATATTTAACTTACTGAAAGGGAAAAATATACAACCAAGATTACTGTACCCGGCAAAGATCTCATTCAAAATTGATGGAGAAATAAAAAGCTTTTCAGAAAAGCAAAAGTTAAGAGAATTCAGTACCAGCAAACCAGCTTTACAACAAATGTTAATGGGGTTATATAGTCAAGAAATACAGAAGAAGAAAAAGATCTACAAAATCAACCCCAAACAATTAAGAAATGGCAATAGGAACATATATACCAATAATTGCTTTTAATGTAAATGGATTAAATGCTCCAACCAAAAGACACAGACTGGCTGAATAGATACAAAAACAAGACCCATATATATGCTGTCCACAAGAAACCCACTTCAACCTCAAGACACACATAGACTGAAAGTGAGAGGATGGAAAAATGTATTCCATGCAAACGAGAAGCAAAAGAAAGCTGGAGTAGCAATCCTCATATCAGACAAAATAGACCTTAAAATAAAGAAGATTACAAGAGATAAGGAAGAACACAACATAATGATCAAGGGATCAACCCAGGAGGAAGACAGAACAATTGTAAATATCTTTGCACCCAACATATGAACACCTCAATACATAAGACAAACACTAACATGCAAAAAGGAGAAATTGACAGTAACACAATAATAGTAGGAGACTTTAACGCCCCACTCACACCAATGGACAGGTCATCAAAACAGAAAATTAATAAGGAAACACAAGTCTTAAAGGACACACTAGAGGAGATGATCTCATTGATTTCTTCAGGACATTTCATCCAAATGCAGAAGAATACACCTTCTCAAGTGCACATGGAACATTCTCCAGGACAGACCACATTTTGAGTCAGAAATCAAACCTCAGTAAATTTAAGGAAATTGAAATCATATCAAGCATCTTCTCTGACCACAACACTATGAGACTAGATATCAATTACAAGAAAAAACCTGTAAGAAACACAAACACATGGAGATTAAACAACACGTTTCTAAGTAACCAACAGGTTACTGAAGAAATCAAAAGGGAAATCAAAATATTTCTAGAAACAAATGACAATGAAAACATGACAACTCAAAACCTATGGGATGCAGCAAAAGCAATTCTAAGAGGGAAGTTTATAGCAGTTCAATCCTACCTCAAGAAACAAGAAAAACATCAAATAGACAACCTAACTTTACACCTGAAACAACCGGAAAAAGAACAAAAAAACCCCTAAAATTAGTAGAAGGAAAGCAATCATAAAGATAGAGCAGAAATAAATGAAAAAGAAATGAAAGAAACAATAGTAAAGATTAATAAAACTTAAAGCTGGTTCTTTGAGAAGATAAACAAAATTGACAAGCCTTTAGCCAGACTCATCAAGAAAAAAAGAGAGAAGAATCAAATCAACAAAATTAGAAATGAAAAAGGAGAGGTTACAACAGACAGTGCAGAAATACAAAGGATTAGAAGAGACTATTATGAACAATTATATGGCAATAAAATGGATAACCTGGAAGAAATGGACATATTCTCAGAAAAGCTCAATCTTCCAAGACTGAACCAGGAAGAAATAGAAATTATGAACAACCCAGTTACAACCCAATTGAAGCTGTGATTAAAAAATCTCCCCAAAAGCAAAAGCCCAGGACCAGATGGCTTCACACAAGAATTCTATCAAACGTTTAGAGAAGAGCTAATGCCTATCCTTCTAAAACTCTTTCAAAAAATTGCAGAGGAAGGAGCACTTCCAAACTCATTCTACGAGGCCACCATCACCCTGATACCAAAACCAGACATAGACAACACAAAAAAAGAAAACTACAGGCCAATATCACTGATGAACATAGGTGCAAAAAATCCTAAACAAAATTTTAGCAAACAGAATTCAGCAACACATCAAAAAGTTCATACACCATGATCAAATTGGGTTTATTCCAGGAATGCAAGGATTCTTCAATATATGTGAATCAATCAATGTGATACACCATATTAACAAATTGAAAGATAAAAACCATATGATAATCTCAATAGATGGAGAAAAAGCCTTTGACAAAATTCAGCACCCATTTATGATTAAAACTCTTCAAAAAATGGGCATAGAAGGAACCTACCTCGACATAGTAAAGGCCGTATATGATAAGCCCACAGCAAACATTATTCTCAATGGTGAAGGAACAGGACAAGGGTGTTCACTTTCATCACTATTATTCAACATAGTTTGGGAAATCCTATAGCATTCAGAGAAGAAAAAGAAATGAAATGAATCCAGATTGGAAAAGAAGTAAGACTCTTAGTTTGCAGATGACATGATACTGTACATAGAAAACCCTAAAGATAGTATCAAAACATTACTAGAGCTAATCAGTGAATTTAGCAAAGTTGCAGGATACAAAATCAATACACAGAAATCACTTGCTTTTCTATATACTAACATGAAAAATCAGAGAAATTAAGAAATAAATCCCATTCATCCTTGCAACAAAAAGAATTAAATATCTAGGAATAATCTTACCTAAGGAGGCAAAAGAACTGTACATAGAAAATTATGAGACACTGATGAAAGAAATCAAAGATGACATAGACAGATGGAGAGATATTCCATGTTCCTGGGTAGGAAGAATCAATATTGTGAAAATGACTATACTACCAAATGCAATCTACAGATTCAATGCGATCCCTATCAAATTACCAATGGTATTTTTCACAGAACTAGAACAAAAAAATTCACAGTTCATATGGAAACACGAAAGACCCTGAATAGCCAAAGCAGTCTTGAGAAAGAAGAATGGAGCTGGAGGGATCAACCTTCCTGACTTCAGATTATACTACAAAGCTACAGTCATCAATACAGTATAGTACTGGCACAAAAACAGAAATATAGCCCAATGGAACAAGATAGAAAGCCCAGAAATAAACCCATGCACCTATGGGTACTTTATTTTTGACAAAGGAGGCAAGAATATACAATGGGGCAAAGACAACCTCTTCAATAAATGGTGCTGGAAAAACTGGACAGCTAGAAGTAAAATAATGAAATTAGAACACTTCCTAACACCATACACAAAGATAAACTCAAAACGGATTAAAGACCCAAATGTAAGACCAGAAACTATAAAACTCTTCGAGGAAAGCATAGGCAGAACACTCGATGACATAAATCAAAGCAAGATCCTTTATGACCCACCTCCTAGAGTAACAGAAATGAAAACAAAAGTAAACAAGTGGGAACTGATTAAACTTAAAAGCTTTTTCACAGCAAAGGAAACTATAAGCAGGTGAAAAGACAACCCTCAGAATGGGAGAAAATAATAGCAAATGAAACAAGTGACCAAGGATTAATTTCCAAAATATATAGGCAGCTCATACAACCCAATGCCAGAAAAACAAACAACCCAATCAAAAAGTGGGGGAAAGACCTAAACAGACATTTCTCCAAAGAAGACATACAGGTGGCTAACAAACACATGAAAAGATGCTCAACATCGCTCATTATTAGAGAAATGTAAATCAAAACTACAATGAGATATCACCTACCAGGCTCCTCTGTCCATGGGGTTTTCCAGGCAAGAGTACTGGAGTGGGTTGCCATTTCCTTCTTCAGGGGATCTTCCCAACCCAGGGATCAGTCCTGGGTCTCCTGCATTGCAGGTAGATGCTTTACCATCTGAGCCACCAGGGGAGCCCCTAAAAGTCTACAAACAATAAATATTGGAGAGGGTATGGAGAAAAGGGAATGCTCTTGTACTGTTGGTGGGAATGTATAAATTGATACAGTCACTACAGAAGATGGTATGGAGATTCCTTAAAAAACTAGGAATAAAGCCACCATATGACCCAGCAATACCACTCCTAGGCATATACCCTGAAGAAACCAAAATTGAAAAAGACACAGGTATCCCATTGTTCATTGAAGCACTATTTACAATAGCTGGAACACAGAAGCAACCTAGATGTCCATGACAGATGAATGGATAAAGAAGTTGTGGTACGTATACACAATGGAATATTACTCAGCCATAAAAAGGACTGCATCTGGGTCAGCTCTGATGAGGTGGATGAACCTAGAACCTATTATACACAGTGAAGTGAGTCAGAAAGAGAAGGATAAATATCATATTCTAATGCATATATACAGAATCTAGAAAAATGGTACTGAAGAATTTATTTACAGGGCAGCAATGGAGGAACAGACATAGAGAATAGACTTATGGACATGGGGAGAGGGGAGGAGAGGGTGAGAGGTATGGAGAGAGTAAAATGGAAACTTGTATTACCATATGTAAAATAAATAGCCAATGGGAATTTGCTGTATGGCTCAGGAAACTCAAACAGGGGCTCTGTATCAATCTACAGAGGTGGGATGGGAGGGAGGTTTGAAAGGGAGGGGATATATGTGTACCTATGTCTGATTCATGTTGTTTGACAGAAAACAACAAAATTCTGTAAAGCAATTATCCTTCAATAAAAAAATAAATTAATAAAAAAAATCAAGGGTCTTCAGCCCAAATTTACTCCTTCCCCCCACTCTCTTTGCCTATGAATACTGTATCTTCCTTCCAACCTTTGGGAGTGAGGTATGAATAAGGTACTTGAGCCAAGTCCTTGATGGGAGTGTGCAGTGTACTTGTGATTATCTGCTGGATCTCTTTCAGATGGATTTGGGCAGTGGTACATGGATGGAGTAAAGGTGAAGGAAAGTCCCAGGTTCACTGTCCCACTCTGCCCAGCATCATGTTATGTTGTTCTGGCCAGCATGTTCAACTGTTCTTTTCAGAAAACTTCAGAGGCCAAAGGGCTGGAATGTCTGTGTTCTCAAAGCCAGGATTTGGAGCAGTTCCCTCTCGAGAACTTCTTCCCTCTTCAGAGGCTTGGAAGACTGTTGTTCTGATGCTAGAAGAGAGAAGGGAGACCCGGTAGGGACAGGGACCCCTGCTCACTTTTTCCCCAGTTATCCCACAGATCATGAGAGGCCTGGCTGTCCCCAGACTCAAGAAGGGAGAAGAGCTGAACACAGAAGCTAAGGGTGGGGGTGGTAAGGAATGTTGGCAGACAGTGGGACAAGTGTGAATAGCAAGAGGTCAGCCAGGGGAACAGAGAACTTGAGCTCAGAACCAAATTCAATAGTAGAACTGCCTTTGTCCTTGAGATCTCCCTGAATCACAATGAATGAGCCACACACCAGAGGTTCTTGGGGGCAGGCAGTGTAGGATGATTGAAAAAGCACTGGATTTGGGGATTTGTGAGCTGCATTTGAATTCCAAGGCTGCCCCTTCAGAACTGTGTCTTCTTGGGCAAATGACTCCTCTGCATACAAGCTTTGGATTCAGATGGACTCTGCCCCTAACACCTGCATGACAAATTAGTTAACCTCTGAGCCTCAGTTGCCTCATTTGTTAAAAACAGGGGCAATAACACGTTTGGGGTTGTTGTCAGTATTAAATAATATTTAATCTTGTTAAAGCAGATTTCATCCATCACATTGGATCATGGAGTAACAACGAGCTCGGGGCCAGGAGACACGCATTTGGATCTGCCTCCAGCTAGACGTGTAATCTCTCTGAGAAACAATTTCTCCTCTGTGAGAAGAATGATGCCTCTCCACGTAGCTCTCATGGGGCTCCAGTGAGATAAGTGGGGCTGCCCAGGGGGCTCGGTGGCAAAGAATCCACCTGCCAACGCAGGAGCCGCAGGAGACTCGGGTTTGATTCCTGAATCAGGAAGATCCCCTGGAGGAGGAACAGCAACCAGTTCTTGCCTGGGAAATCCCAGGGACTGAGGAGACTGGTGTGCTACAGTCCACGCGGTCCTGAAGACTCGGACACGACAGAGCGCAAATGACGATGAGTGAGACAGGTGTGCGAAAGTACTTTGCACAGCTCTGTACAGATGTGAAGAATCCTTTTTGTTCTTCAGCTCACCCTCTAACAAAGGCTAAATTAAGTACAGAAGTGGCCAAAAAAGGGAGGGCGAGGGAAGGAATGTGACTCTTGGGCGGGGAGGGGGGGTAGCAGAGAACCTGAAATAATCCCTGCTCCGTGTGTTGAACACTTTCCATTAGGCTCCAGCTCCTGAGGAGCAGCTCACACCCACAGGCGGGTGGAGAGGGGCAGGGGATGGCGAGGAGGGAAAAGAAGCTACTGTCCCACTGCTGTTAAACCCCAGGAAGGCGAGGAGGGTCCTGTCTGGACAGGAGAAAAGAGGGAATGTCGTCTCTAGCCCCAACTCCGTCTGTGTGCCCCTCCGTGACCTTGACTCGCTCCCTTGTGACCCACAAAGCATAGCTCCCAGCCTTGAGCCAACAAGTACTGCCTTTCAATGCCCCCCACCTGACAGCTACTGAGCAGATTCCAGTGTGCCCCGGCGTGGAATCCGCGGAACACAGACTGGAGTTTCGCAGTCCCCGAAGGGAGGGCAGCTGGCCCTTGCCCCGCCCGTGGAGCAGAGCCTCTGTAGGCAGTCCCCTCCCCACTTGCCCTCCACTTTCCCTAGATGAGTCTGAAGCAGGACACGATGTTAGGGCCAGGGCCCTGCTGGTCCTGGGCTCCAGAGAGGCTGTCTTTCTCTTGGGAGCTCAGCCTGCAGGATGTGCCAGGGAAATGTTTAAGCAGATGAGTGCCCCCTGGGGTGGGACGGCAGCAGCAGGTGGCAGGAACAGGGCAGGGGAGGGAGCGAAACCCAGGGAGCCCTTGGGAGGAGCCCAAGGACAGAGGTCGTCTTCTCCAGGCCCCAACCTCAAGAACCAGGAGGTCTGTGGTTCCCCCAGAGCCCACTGCCTCAGTTTCACCCCCCAGTGACCAGACGGTGCTGCACAGACCACTTTATTTGACCAGCTGTTGCGGTAATTATGGTAGTGACATAGTTTAAGTCCTGCTGCAGGTGTAGAATAAATGGGAGGGGAAGAGGTGAGAGGCAGGGGTAGGAGGGGAGAGATGAGGAGCCAGATAAACAATCCAAGAAGAGACGGGGGAAAAAAGGAAAGGAAGTTATGGCAAGAGCAAATTTATAAGCCGAGGAAAAGCCAGCCCAACAAGCGTGTCTTAAATTAAACACTTTTAAAAGGTAAAATCTGGTTGATATTTTTCAAATCTGTTTTTGCTCAGTTAGGTCTTAACAAGGAGCAGTGAATTCACCAGTGCAAGGCAGACAAGCCAGATACCTTCTATTTTAAGAGAGGGAAAAGAAGGCAATAGCTGACGGTGAACCGAGGAGCTGTCTGGAGGGAGGGAGAAGCCAGCTTCCTGATGGTCCTCCCCTTCTTCCTGGCCGTTTTTCACTGAGTTTAGGAGTGACCAAGGCAGGTGGGTGAGGTTATTATGACATGATTTTTGACCAAAAGTTTCATCAACACTGGCTTTCCCCCTTGGGTTAGTCCTGGTCCAGCATCAGGCATCCCTAATCCAGCTGGTCCCCAACCTCACAGTTCGTGCTGGTGAGAAACTGGCTCCATGTCTGTGTCACCATTCTGGATAAACTCGAAGATGAATTTCACCTGGGTCTCATAGGCTTGGACCGAGATTTTCTCGTTGATTCCATGGATGCTGAGGGAGAGAAATTTGGGGGGGGGGGGTGCAGAGGCCATTGCTTTAGTGCAAATGTTATTGCAGAGCACCCTACATCCCCTGAAGCCACTGGCCTTTGACCCTCCAGGGGCAGGAAGTGGGCAAGGGGGGAGCAGCCGTTTGGAAGCAGTGAGATTTCATAGGACAGGTTGGTCACTGCTCCAGGATCTAGGTCCATGGCAAAGTACAGAGGGAGCAGATGATAGTCCTGGGGAGTGCAGATCATCTCCTGCTCTGGAATCTATTTAATGATTGCTCCTCTGAGGGGAAGTTATCTTTTAATTCTCTCTCCAAGGCTGGAGTCCCAGCTAGACTTATCCCGATGCCAGCCACCCCTCCCCACATTATCAGGGGCACAGGGGGGTAGGAAGGGCAACTGCCAGGCTGTGGGAGAGCCTATGGGGTTCTCTGCTTCACCTCGAACTTCACTGCCAGATCCGATGCCCACAGCCTGCCTCCACACAACAATACAACCGAGGCACATGTGTAACCTCAAAGATGAAAGGATATAAAGAAGAGCTACCCTCACCTACACTCATTAAAAAAAATCAGTGAACCCCCTCCCCATGAAATCTGTTCTTAAGTTCATATTCAAATATATATTCAAACAACTTGACTTTTGATGAGGAAATCAGAGCTGGTATGGTAAGGAGCAGAGAGGCAAATGGAAATCATGCCCCTATATCCCAGGACTAAAAATTTGCTGAAGAACCCACAAATCAGAAGTTCACACACAGTAGCTGAAACTGGTGAATAAGTTTCAGATTCCCAAGTTATGTTTTGAGAATTCAAAGCATGAGTTCATCTTTGACCTCGAATGTGTCTGCAGTTCACTAAGTGGAAGTTGAGAATTCTGGAGTACCCACTTTCGGGGGAAATGAGATCCAGAGGGGAGCGCTTCTTGCAAAGGAAGGAAGAGGTGGGACTCAAGGGTCCTAATTCTACCAGGTTCTTTCCAGTCATCTGATTATCTCCATTCCTGAAAAACAGTCACTGGTTCCCCCAAATTCTGGGGAGTGGCAAGACTCTGGCACTGAGAAAAGCTGGCCAGTTGGGCTCCACAGTATCTTTTAATTTGTACAAATCCCAGGTTGCCCCCATTCTGTGGGCTGTCAGGAGAATGAAGCGGGAAAGGGACAGGTCAGATGTATCTCCTCTCTCCACCAAGCTGTCCAAACCTGTTCCACTCACTCACCTACTGAAGCCCTGTGGCTGTATGTAGAGGGGGTTGAACCGGTAGATGCTGGTGGTCAGATTCAGATAGTGTCTGCTGTCTGTGTTGCCAATACAAGTACCTAGAAAGGAAGAATCCAGAGAAATGGAGCTTTTTGTAAGCAGCCAAGCCAAGGAAGTGGTGGCCCATAGGCTACCTGGAAAATTGGGACCCTCGAGTCACCACAGAAGACGCCTGGATCTTCCTTAGGAGACTGTAGCCATGGATTTTTGTCCTTCAGCCTACCCATTTTCAAAACCTTTCTAAGATACTATTTCAGCCAGGAACATGGAATCACCTCCCAAGGGCACTAGAGAGACATCCCTTACATGGTCCAAGGTTGAGTGCCCTCTCTCCATGATGACCACGGAGGCCAATGGCTTCATTTCATACGTGTGGCCAGGTTATTCTATCAGTAGAAATTTAAATACCCAGAAATCTAAGCACCGTTTCTTCACTGCCCAACCTTTCTTGTGTATCACTCAGGTCAGAAACAAACACTCTCTGGGGGACTTTTCCTGCTGCCGATGGCAATCCTCTTAAAGGAGAACATGCTGCGCCACTGTGCTCAGCTGTGTCCGACACCTTGCGAGCCATGGCCTGTAGCCCACCAGGCTCCTCTCTCCATGGCGCTTCTCCAGGCAAGAATAAAAGTAGAACACAATTTCTGGTTATTCCTGTCTTCTGAAGGAGGACTCTATCTTCCCAGAGTCAAACTGCAGGTCTGGATAGTCCCAGGATACTCTCTAGCGTCCCACTCTCCTGAAGGTAGTAGGTCATCCATCCCCATCCCCCCTGTCCCCTCCCAGCTGGGGCTGGGATTCCTCTCCATTATGAATGATCTTTGAAAAAAGACTCCCTAGATTATCAGTTAAAGTGTGGTGGGATGAATTTGAGATGGTAATTTGTGTTTTATTTTGATTGAGTTAGTGCTTTTATTCTAGAAATGCATCCCACTTTTAAGTACTTTCAGGCAGAACAGATTTATCATGAAGCTATTAAGCTTATGCATAAAGATCCCACAAGTACAGGTGTGCTTTTTGAGTTCACGACAGGGTCATAGCTCTGTGTTCATGTAGTTGGATAGGTATTTTTAATAATTTAAAAGTGACAGAAAAATTTCAAAAATACAATTGGCTATTGTTTTATAGCAAACTTGGGATGATGTGTTGCATGTACTTTTTTTTGAGTATCCTTTTTAAAATTGAAGTATAGCTGATTTACAGTGTTGTGTTAGTTTCAGGCGGACAGCAAAGTGACCTAGCTATCCATGTTCAGACATACCTGTCTTCTTCAGATTCTTTTCCATCATAGGTTATACAAGACACTGAATGTAGTTCCCTGAGCTACACAGTAGGTCCTCACTGTTTATACACTTACTATATAATAGTGTGTATCTGTTGATCCCAAGCTCCCTATTTATCCTCTCCAACACTTTTTCCATTTGATAATCACAAGTTTGTGTTCCATGTCTTTGAGTCTATTTCTGTTCTGCAAGTGAGTTCATTTATATCATTGTCCTAGATGTCACACGAGTGATACCATATGATACTTGCCGTTCTCTGATTTGCTTCACTTAGTATGACAGCCTCTAGGTCCATTGTTCTACTTTCCACTCCTGGTTGCAGATGGGTCCCTTCACAATTCCTGGCTTTGGAATTTCTGCCAGTTGAAGTCTGCCTATCTTTATTCTGTAAAAGCCTAACTGTGTTGATGAGATTATTGCAGGTTCCCCACAAGGGAGAGGGAAAGGTAGAGAGTCTTTGAGGCCAAGAGAGGAGAACCTGGGAGTATGAAAGCCAGGGTTCCTAGATGGTAGGAACCCAGATCCTGCTCTGTGGTAGGAGTCCAAGGAGGTAGAAAATCTCAGAGGGTATGTTCAGGGGAGATCTTGGGTCTGGAGATCTCACTCCCCTGACAGGTCAAGGAATCAGAGGAAGCCTGCAACCTGAAGTGACCTTGTGGGCAGGATAATGGATGTCTCAGAGGCAAACACAAGGACAGATGACCACAGACTAAGGGATCCTGATGCTATGTTATTGCATAAGACCCTGAGGCCTGACTCAAGGTGGGGGTGGTGGAGTTGCTTGGAGGCTTCAATAATGCCTGAGGTTGAATTTCTGAGAAGTGGGTCAGATTTAAGTTGATTAAAAACTAAGACTGCTTCCCCCCCCCCCCCCCTCCAATACCTGAGGAGTTTATGGTTGTAGAATTTCACTATAATATCTTTAAGGTCCATGCCTAACAGGTCCTAAGAATTAGCTTAGAAAAATGAGAGGTTCCATGATTGAAGGTAGATAAAAGCAAAGTGAACACAAGTCTTCACATTAGAGCATCTCTTCCTCACATCACAGACCAGAGATTCTCAAACTGTGGTCAGCCATCAGCTGGTGTCAGAATTCCCTGGGATATTTATTAAAAAGGCAGATTCCAGGGTCCTCTCCAGAGTTAATATACCTGAATCTTTGGAAGTGGGTCCAGGTAATCTGCATTTTAATAAGCTCCCTAGGTGATCCTCTTGTCCTCTTAAATTTGAGAACCACTATCTATACAGCATAGATTTGGAAGGCATGCTGGAAGACTGGAGAAGGGGCATAGAGGCACTGCTACTGGGAGGGTGAAGGGGGTTAATTCCAATGGGACAGCCAGGAGAAGTTCCTGGGCTGCAAATTCTGAGCTCTGTTGCTGAGCTGCTATCCTAGAATGGGTCAGAACCAGACTGCATGGGTGGAACCCAACCCCCTCTGTGGCTCCTCCAGAGGAAGGGGAATCTGAGCCGATCCTCTCCTCTAGGCCAGAGTGGCTGGCCTAGGTTAAGCAAGGACCCAGGCTTGGCTGACCTAATTTATTGTTTCTGATCCTTTCCTGTTTGCTTTCTCACTTCCACTTGGAGGGGAAAATACATTTCCAGTCCCATCAGGAGAGGAAGCAGCCAGCTGTTTCCAGGCTGAACAGCTGGGATGGGGGTGAGGCAGTGGATGTCAGATAGGCTAAAGTTCCAGCACTGCCCCCCTGCCCCCAAACTCTGGCAGCCACAGTTGATGAAGTCATTACCTGGGGTAACAATGTTGACTTCCGGGAAGACAGATTGTATGGTCTGGCGGAGCAGCTGGTAACCCAAGGCCTGATCATCAGAGGGGCTGACAGGCAGGGGGTCAAAGGCATCCAACACGTGGAAGTGGACCCGGTCATCAGCCACAATGTCCTTGGCTAGTTTTAGGACCTTGAGAGAGGAAATAAAGAAAGTTTGATTTCTTATTGGTCTGCTATTCAAGTACTGTATGAATTTATACAGTCCTGATTTCTCTCCAGCAAGGCAGAGCCTTTACAGAAGAGACTCACTGTAGCTCTGTACCTCAATTTCAGCCTACTGGTTGTTGGAGACAGCAGGGCTGTTCTTCCTGGAAATCTGCAGCGTGGTAGATTTATGTTAGATGTTTGGGAGGCTTGCCTTATAGCTGTGAGGTAGGGAACTGGAAAATCAGGATATTGGGTCATTTCCCTTAGGCTGAGAACCTAAGGCTAGGTGAAAATGTACAAGAGACAGCAGAGTGGAAATCTCAACCATCTCAAGGCAGGGGGGTAGATGTAATGACCTCACTTCAGCCTGGGAGAGTCTCAGACAGGTGGTGACAGTTCATACACTTTCTTCCTTCTCTCTGGGTATCCCTGCTTCCTGTTTGTAGCCATCTGCACTGGGGCCAGGAAGATGAGCTCAACAGACAAAAAGTTAGAAGTTGGGGGCTAGTATTCAAGTTTTCTCTCTGAGCCTCCTTTCCTCAGGAAGGAACATGAGGAAGCTTCTAGAAATTTCAGTCTGAAGTGACTAAAGCTGAATTCAGCAAAAGTCCTGGTCCCAGGCAGGATGTAGACCAGACCCCGAGGATCAGATCACATGAAGCTGTGTGGGAATGGATGAGGATGCTGACCGTCTGGGCTGGCTGACCACAAACCCACCCAGCCCTCTAGGGAAAGCTCCAGCACTGGTCTCAAGTTTTTGGAGGCACTTGCTTTAGGATGGTCTCTGCCCTAGAAAGGGGAGTGTCTGTCTCATAACTGGGGGGCATTATCTTGAGAGGACCTCTTTTAGGTCAGTGTCAGGTCTGGAAAGGAAATGAGGGTTCCTTCTTCTGACTTAGAAACCATCATTTGAGGCAAAGCCAATTCTGTGCTGTTGGACTGAGGGGAGTGGTAACTCACTTGTCAGAGCTTATTTTCACTCCAGCACAGATGTCTCAAATACTCTGATACAAGAATTAATATATCATCTGGATATGTTCTTGACCCACTGGGAGGCTCCTAAAGTTATCCCCAGAAGTGTCTGCTGTGCCCTGCCCCATATTACTTAAAGATTCCTGCCCCTCCAGACACTGAAGAAGGCACACAGATTGGACCTCAGTGAGCAGGTGGCTCAGTGGTAAAGGGTCTGCCTGGCAATGCAGGAGGCACGCGTTCGATTCCTGGGTGGGGAAGATGCCCTGGAGGAGGAAATGGCAACCCACTCCAGTACTCTTGTCTGGAGAATCCCATGGACAGAGGAGTCTGGCAGGCTACAGGCCATAGGGTCGCAGAGAATGGGACACGACTGAGCCCACATGCCTGCAGTGAGCACCACAGAGCCCAGGTTTGCCACCAGCTGCCAGGCTAGGTCCTGACCCAAAGGCCGCATTTCTTTACGCCTAGTACGAAGACTATAAAAGGTGTGCAATGAATGTTGCACGTATACATTTTAAAAGACGTGAGATGACAATAATAAAAAAAAATAACAGGAGTTGTCTCATTAAGGAATTTGCCCAAGCTTTATAGAGTTAGTACTGCTGGGCTGGGTATCTGACTTCACAAGGATGGTGCTTCACTGTTTCCAAAGTACCTACAGGTTGAAATGGCATTGAGTAGAGCCAGAAAGAGGGCGGTGTTCATTTAAGATGGATTTCTTAGTGGTATGGATTTTGAGCCAGAATTTGAAGGAAGGATATGAGAATGATGGAGAAGAGGCAAGAGACAGGCTGAGCAGGGAAGGGGCATGCACACTCAGCTCTGGGCCTCGGGGAGCTGCTAACAGCTGTGTGACACTCCTCAGCCTCTGTGTCTCCACCTGCTCATCTGTTAACAGAGGCATGATGGTAGCACCTACCTGCTGAGGTGGTTGTTACCGTGACTGGACGTGTGTAATATGCTTAGGGAGGCTCCTGGCACTCAATGTATGTTAGCTGGTATTTGCCTGTTTAGAAGGGCAGTAATCAGAGGCACAAGGATGGGACTAAGAGGAGGGATTCATCAACGGTAATGGGGACCTCAAAGGTAGAGCACATTGATTCCTCACTTCTCTGAGCTCCTACAGTCCTTATTTCCACATTATGTTGTTCTCTACTTTAGGCAAAGCTGTATTTTCTTCTTGAGTGAATAAGTTTGAAGGCAAGGACAATGGGGACTTAAAGACTTAAGTCTTTAGAGTTAGCAAGACCAGCTTCCACCCTACTGTAAGACTGGTCATCAAAACAACCATGACAGGCTGTCACTGGCTTGTGCTTCAATATTTCCAGTGGCAGATAGCTCACCATCATGTGTTTTAATCCATTTCATCTTTGAATAACTCTGTGATGAGCATCTTCTTAATAATGAACTGAGGGACGGCTTCCTGTAGCATCTAACCTACTCATACCTCTTTTTATTTATTTTTGAAACATTCTACAGAATCCACAGGATAATGTGTCAACCGTGCCAGAGCCATCAGCACCTCTGTTGAGCCATTTCACCTCTGTTGAGAATAGAGGCCTGTGCTTTTGCTGCCTGAATGCTGTTCCCAGGGTTTTGCTCCCTCCTGGCTTTCAGTGTAAATGCCTCATGAGAGAGGACTGTGTGTGTGCTTAGTCATTAGTCATGTACAACTCTTTGCGCAACCCCGTGGACTGGAGCCTGCCAGGCTCCTCTGTTGATGGAATTTTTGAGGCAAGAATACTGGAGTGGGTTGCCATTTTCCTCCTCCCGGGGATCTTCCCCACCCAGGAACTGAAGCTGCCTCTCCTGTATTGCAGGCAGATTCTTAACCTGCTGAGCCACTGGGAAAACCCTGAAGAGAGGACTGACCATGGATATGAAGCTGTTCACCGCCCCAACCCCACTTCACAACCATTCTGTGACACATTGTCCTATGATTTCCTTTATGGTGCCTACTTCTTCCACCTGTTCATATATTTGATTCCTTACACCCATTAGCAGGTAAACATCTTTAGAATGGGAATCTTGGCCTGTTCACCATTTTCCCAAGTGCTTGGAAGAATGTCTAGCCCACAGGAGCCACTGAATAAACACTTGGTGAATGAATAAATGAAGGAAGACAGGAATTTTCTGTAAAACACTCTAGATAGGTGGACATCCAGCCTCTGAGAAGCTCACTATCATGCGAGGTGCTATACTCCAAAACTCTGCTTTAAGTGGGAGCTCCCAGAAACATCTCCCAGTGGCCTTATTTCTGCCCTTTGAGGGCCACACAAAACAAACCTTCCTTTCCACATGGCAGTCTGTTAGGTTTCTGAAGGCTCTTGTTCCTCACCGATGGGGCCAGAGACCTAGCTCTTGGGTTGGTCAAAAAGTTCACTCAGATTTTTCTCGTAAAAACTTACTGGTGAGACCAGGTAAAGATGGATGAAGAGGGCACAGGGAGCCATTTAGAATTGGGGCACGAGGAAGAGGCGTGACCAGGACGAAGAGGTACTGTGTGCTTCTGGGATGACGGGGGCTTTCCACTCCCCACTGAGGCAGGGGAGCAGGGTGGGCCTAGGGAGCCCAGAGATCTCATTGATTGGTGGGGAAGGAAGGCCACTGCAGCAGGGGACTGGAGAGGAGGGCAGAGTGCCAGAACCTGGGGAGATGAAAGTCCCAGCTGGTGGAAAACAGCCCTTGGAAAGGGCATGGAGTTGGAATGAGGCTGGAAAAAAACTGGTGGAAAGCAGCTCAGTGAGGGAATTCAGTGATTTCCTGGCCCCACGAGCCCCCAGGGAGAGGACAGAGGTTGGCACTGGATGAAAAGCAGCAGAGCCCAGGGCTTACGCTGTCCCAGCTCCCTGCCAATGCCGGGTGACTCTGGTCAGACTGCCAGCTTGTGCCCCCAGCCCTTGCAATGCGGGCCTGCCCCCAGCCTGTGTGAGGACACACGACGGCCTCCATGGGGAAGGCCCCAGGGAGAAAGGACCACAGAAATCTAAGTGCGGCGGACCCTTGATGATCCGCCAGGAAGAGCACCAGGAAACACCACCCGCCCCTTATCTTGCTTACTCCTGGAATATAATACTCATCTCATAGTCGTCAGGTTGGTTTTTTTATCATTTTCAGAAGGACCAGATTTTCCTTCTGAATTCTTTTTAGCTCAACCTGATGTTTAAATAAGCTGGTCTTTCTTAGAGATGTCAGATGTTCTGTGTATTTCTTTTCACCCTTTAGCTTCCAGCTCAGATATCACGTAGGGAAGTCTTGCCTGACCCGTGGACAGATTCTCATTCCTTCTTAAATTCTTCGATAGCAGCAGCCCCCTTTCCTCATAGCACTCATCATGGTTTGCAATTACACATTCATTTTCCTAACTTTTAAACTGATGTTCACAGCAGAACATCACAAGTCTGTCTGTAACCTCTTCTCTCCAAGGGGGTCACACACCCTTCCCATGGGATTTTATTGGCTCTAGAGGTTTCAATTAATAATACTCCAGCCTCTGTCTATATTATCTCTTCAGATCTAAGGTATTTGTAATTATCTATTAATATATTAGAAGCCTCTCAAATTTCTAAACCATTAATTTCTCTGAGAACGTGCTTTCTTCTTGAATTCCCAATCTTGGTTAAAGGCATCAGCACCTGGCCAACTAATATCACACACTGCATCCTGAAGAACGCACCTCTCACACCTCTGGAGGGTACCTTCTCTACCCCATGACCATAGCCTCAGTTAGACCTCCATACCCACTGCCTGAGATGTTGTAACAATTTAATTATTTCTTCTTACTTCAAGGCTTCCTCAGGATCGCCACTAGCACTGTCTCCCTAAAAGAGAGTCTGAGTCTATCACAGCCTGGTTTGAAGACCTCTGACATTTGTCCACAGATTAGAGCCCAAACTCCTTGGCATGGCACTCAGAGCCTAGACCCCCAAACTATCAATACAACTCCATTTTCATCTTCCATCACTTTTCCCCAAATTATCCTACTCTTTAGATTTCATTTTCCCTGTACCCTGAATGTCTTACTTTTAGCCAAATCCTATTTGTCCTTTAAGTCCTTTTCTAGTGGTTGGAAAAGACTTTCTTGATTCTTAGAGGTAGCATCAGCCCCTTATTTTGCTCAGATTCTATGGTAATTTGTTCATCCCTAATTGTTATAATCCTAGTATGGTGTGAGGCTGAAAGTGCAGACTCTGGAACTAGTCCTGGCTGTATAATGCTGGGCATGCTACTTACCTGCTGCGTGGCTCTGTGCCTCCATTTTCCCTGTTAGATGAGGAGGACACACTCCCTGCTTCACAGAGTGGTTGGGGGATTAAATGGGTGTATACAGTATGTAAACCTGAGAACAGCGCCACGAGCGCAGCAAGCCCGCTATCTGTGCTGCTGCTCTGATCATGATTATCATCATTCATCTCCCACCCCCAGACTCCACGCTCCCTGAAGCCAGGGATCTCCTATCCCAGCCAAGCACCTGGCACGTAGGAAGCCTTTGAAAAATCATTGAACAAATGAGCCCCTGGGCCAGCCCTGGAACTGCAGCTCCACCCAGCCCTGCCGGACACACTTCAGCGGGGCTGACCCGGTCGTCGGGAACACGTGGCACGCACCTCCTGAACAGTCTGTGCGGGGTGAATTCGGAAGTTGATGATGGCCTCGGCCACAGGGGGGATGACGTTCACCTGGAGAGAGAACCACAAACCTTGGCCTGAGCTCACCTCTAGTCCTCCACACCTGGCCCCCACCCAGGAAGAGCCGACTGCCACCAGCAGAGGGAGAGGAAGCTGCTCTGACTGAAAAACTCAAGGTTTAATATTTCTAGTCAGCCACTGTCTTCTCTGGGCCCTTGACGTGTGGTTATGTTCAATGCTAGAGGTGTGTCTCTGCTTCAGGCCAGACCTTCATGTTTCTTGGTCCTGGAGGATTCACAGAGAGCTGCTCAGAGCAAGACTGCTTTCTCTGGGACGCCAGGACACCTCTATTTTGGCCTGTACAAGGCTGCTAGTGGTCTTTGGTGAGCGCTCTTTCCCAGGATGCCTAGGACAGTTCTGCAGTGGTCAGTGTTGGTTCTTACTCAGGAGGGGCACCCCAGAGCCTCTGAGGCCCCATTAAGGCCCCAAGGGGGACAGTCACTATAACTGATGGTGGTAGTGATCTTCCATATCCTACTGTGAAATTTGTTCTCTGTCTGATGAGGAAAAACTAAACAGAACTAATCTAATTAGGACTAATTAGAAAAGAGGGTTAAGGCTATGGAGGGAATTTTCCCCCAGAGCCCGAGAGAGGAGATTCCCTAATTGTGTATCTTTCTTTGAACTGCTATGGTGCAAAAAAGCACCAGACTAGGGCCAGGAGAACTGCGCTGATACAAACTGGCTGTGTGATTTTCAGATATGACAACCTCTTTGTGTCTCTGTCTCTCAGCTGGCTCCTCCTGTTAGGAGTATCAAATGGAAAAACAAATGTGAAAGTATTCTGGACAGATAAAAACACCATTCAAATGCAAGGACATAGTACACAGTATTATTATTTTGGTGAATTCTGTAGGCAGCTGGTGAAAACAGCTCAGGTCTGGCTGACATGCCAAACACACCGGCCAGTTACAGCAGAAATGAATTCTGAGACACCATTCACTTATTCTCAAGCTGGTCTGCACAATAGCAGAGAGCCACAAGGCCACACTGGGTGGATGATCCTCCTTGAAGTTTTGCTGGTGGCACTGGTAGAAACTGGAACAGTCTAACTCCTTTCAAGATTTCAGAAAGCCTCAGCCCCGGTGAGCTAGTGTGGCTAGTTCAAACAGAAAAGCTCCTTGGTGGCTGGTCCAACTGAAAGTAGACCGATTTGCTGAAAAGGGGTTCTTGGAAAAAACTTTATCAAAGTATTGGTTCACCTGAAACTTACTTCTATAAAAGTAAACCTTGGGAGTTCCCTGGTGGTCCAGTGGTTAGGAGTCTGCACTCTCACTGCCAACGGCCAGGGTTCAATCCCTGCTCAGGGAACTAGGATCCCACAAGCCAAAAAAGTAAATCTCATGTAGAATTTATATTTTTGAAGGCCATTCAAAATTTACTGTATTTTGGAGAATGACAATGTATGTATTTTAAGGCTGTATACATCACAAATATTATAGATTTTTAAACTAGTAGGTGAGTTTCTCTCATTCAACTCAGGGAGAACATATTAATCATTCAGTAAATTTGTGAGGTGAATAAATCTTTCAAAACATGAGGAAGAATAACAGAAACGTGGTAAAGAGGTTGGGAATCTTTAGCCTACATGACCAAAATGCTAGATGAATATATTACATGTTAAATGAGTATAAGTCACAAGAATTAACTCCCAAATAATACCTCTTCACATCAGTGTAATGGTTATGTTTTTGAAGGGGTACAGTCCCAAAGAACCTGAGGGGGGCCCCTGAAACACACATACATGAAACTTGGCCAAACTTCAAGGAGTTTGTAGATGTCAGCTAGAACCCTTGCTCCTGAGGTTTACCCATCTGATGACATAGGACAGTTGAGCACTGAGCCTTCCTACTATCCACACTGCAGCCAGAGAAGGAAGGAGAAGCCAAGAAGATAAAACCAAGCGATGCAGGGGTGTGTGGGAGGAGGCGGGTGGGGTTACCTTGACCCCAGCATTGAACATGGTGAGCGCCGTGGTGGTCCTGACCAGCGAATTGGTTATGTAATTCCTCTCCATCAACCTAAGGCAGAAAGACTAAGGTCACTGGAAAGGTCACTGTCCACTGGAAAGAGAGGGTTGTAGGATACCCCCCCTTCCTGAACCTTGGAGATCTTTAAGACTAGGAGGGGTGTCCTCTGGACCAGTTAGATGTAGCGTCTGGTGGCTGAGGGATGGTTAGTCAGGCCCGGTTAAGCCACAGAGAGGAGACGGGGAAGTGGGTAGGTTTGGAGTGGGGATGTGAGGAATGGGAAGATAAAACATTACCTGCTTACAAGGGGCCGAAATAGCCACAGGTTGTTCAAGACTATATTGGTAGGGAAGGGAAACTGAAAGGGAAAGCAACAGGTCAGAGGATTTCAGAGGGGTCAGCATAACAGGGTCACTGTTCTGGGACCTGGGCCTGTCCTTACTTTAGACCCGGCTCGAGGGCCCGTGGCAGCAGCCTCAAGGGTGAGTGGGAGCCACCTCTGTCAGAGTGGCTGGTGCTGGGTCTCAGGTTCTCAGCCTGAGCACCGACAGCCCCAATCAACAAGCTGGGTCCCTGTGTTTTGGCCCAGGCAGCAGCTGGAAGTAGGTGAGAACGGGCAGAGCACTGGCCAGCAGCAGGGCCCCTTTATTACGCTAAAGACAGCTTCTCCAGCAGTCTTTCTGCCCCTCCCACCGCTGACCAGCGTCTGGGCGCCTCCTCACACCTCATCTGCCAGTTGTTCCAGTGCTGTCCTCAACGGCCCACCTCCAAACATGTTTGGCATCGGTGTCTGCTCCAGTCTGGAAGACAAAGGGAGCTCAAGACTCACCCAATGCAGTCCAAGAGCAGCAGTCCAAGGAGACGATGGGAGACAGGACATTTCCACAGGCCTGGCCAGGAGGTCTCCTGCTCACTCCCCCATCATCTCCACCGTTTCAGATCTCCGAGCACGAGTGGGACTACTTCTACTCCACTCACAGGAGCTGTCCTCAAATACCAAGTCCGAGATAGGGCATCCCAGTCTCACTGCACCTACCACACTGTAGCAAAGTTGTCAGCCTCTTCCACTAACTGTTGGGTTCCTGGAGGAAACAGCACCACTGCATGCCCATTACTAGACACAAAGTCTTGGACATGGTAGATAGTTAAATATTTAGCTGAAAGAATATAGCTTTTCTTCCTACTCTGCAAGAAAACCAGCCAGAGCTAAGCTCTGCTGTTACAAACCCTGCTGTCCTCATCCACAGACAGCAGCCTTTGTTTATCTTGAAGTCGTCTTGCCAGGGCAAGTGGAGAATTTAGACAGTTCTTTTCCAGCTTGTGATCTATAATTTCAAGCCTGGACTTTGGACTATTCCAGCTGCCTAACCTAGCTTTCGTCTGCTGGCTCTTGCTTGCCATATGGACGGGTCCATTTCTGACCTGCCTGGGAACTGCAAGCTCTGTCCTCCCTGTAGCCGCTGTCATGGCTTCTCAGCCCTGCATCAGGACAGGAAGCTTAGCCTCCTCAACTCAAAGTGGGAAAGTGCCAGGTCTTCTAGCCAGAGTCTGGTGGGGGTGGCAGGCCCAGGAGTGGCTCACCGGCTGACCGCAGCGGCGAGAATGCCTATGCTTGTTTCCTTTGGAGGAGCTGAAGAGTGGCCTGGAGTCATGTTGACTTGCAGCATGAGGTTAATTGCACCCTTCTCGGAAACTGAAACCCTGTAAAAGAGGATCAGAGAAGGCCCTCCTGACTTCCTCCCACCCCGAATGACCCCCAGGCCCATCTGTGCAGTGTTCTGGTAAGCCAAGAGGTCTGTTTCATGCTGCTTAAAGATTTTTACTTTAGAAGAGATAGGGAAAGGAGAGCTCAGACTTGGTCAAAGCTCGTGGTGATTAAAGCAAGTGCATGCCTGTGTATATGGCGGTCGTGTCCAATGCTTTGTGACTGCATTGACTGTAGCCCACTAGGCTCCTCTGTCCATGGGATTTTCCAGGCAAGAATCCTGGAGTGGGTTGATTAAAGCAAGAGGAGTAGGCTTATCGATAACCAGACCGAGGTCAGCTCCCATGTGAGAACCTCTTCTGAGGTGGGGCTGGGGTGCTATACTCACATGGCAAAGGGCTTCTTGAGGCTGGGAAAGAAACCATCCAAGATGAAGCTCCCCTCATCCACCAGGAAGGCGAGCTGGACACCCCTTGCCTGGAGCAGGGCTGAGATCTTCTGCGCCCCATTTATCCCTGACACCTGCAGATATTGAACCCAGAGCCACAGTCCTCCTCAGTCAGATCGCCAGAGACAGCTCACAGAGACCCATTCAGCACAGCTGGGCGCTCCAGAGCCTTCCCATCCAGGCTCCTTCATGAGGGACAGGGCCCTCAACAATCCTGCTTCACAGAATCCGGAATGTCAGAGCCAGAAGGGCCCAACCCCCTCATTTCTCAAACAAAGAAACCAGGACCCAGAGTGTGAAGTGATTTGCCCTCATTGGAAATAAAACACATTCATCGATCTGCCTGCTATCTCTCTTCCCATCACACTGGTGTTTCTCTGATGGACGATGTGCCTGCTGCAGGTGTTACCAGGGGGTTCGTTAAACATTCAGATCTGTGCATCACACTGAGTGAAGGAAGCCACTCTGAAAAGACCACAGTCTGTAGAGTTCCAGCCATATAACGTTCTAGACAAGACAAAGTTATGGAGACAGTCAGAAGGTCAGTGGTTGCCAGGCTTTGGGGAAGGAGAGAGGGATGAATGGGCAGAACACAGAGGTTTCTTAAAGCAGTGAAAATATCCTGTATGATACCATAATGATACACCATTATAATGTACAACACCAAGAGTGAACCCTAATGTAAACGTTCGCTTTGGGTGACTATGATGTGTCCGTGTAGGTTCATCAGTTGTCACAAATGTATGACTCTGGTAGGGGACGTCGATATTGGGTAAGGCTGTGCATGTGTGTGGGTTGGAGAAGAAAGGAAATCTCTGTATCTTCTCATTTTTGCCGTGAACCTAAAACTGCTCTTAAAAAGAAAAACAAACAAACAAACAAAAACCCATCGGATCTATGGCACAGAGCCCAGGCATCTACATTTTGGTCAAAGTCCTTACATATTTCTGATGACATATGCACAGTGTGTGTGTACTCAGTCGTGTCCAACTCTTTGCAACCCTCTGGGCTGTGTCCCACCAGGCTCCTCTGTCCATGGAATTTTCCAGGCAAAGAGACATATTCACAGAGAAGTTGTCAAATTGTGCATCCAGGGAGCAAACCGGACCACAGTGAAGCATACTCCCTCCCCCAGGAGGGGACCCAGAGATAGGTTTAGGATGAAGGCATTCTACCTCCTCATCATGGCCCAGAGCAATGAAGAAAGATCTTCGGGGGATGTAGCTTCTGATCAGCAGAAGCTCCAAGGCCTGAAGGATTGCCTGGGGGACAGAAGGACAATGGGAGAAGAGAAAGGCTTATTATCTAAGTGGTGGTACCAAGGCATCAGAGATATTCAGCAGCTGGCAACAGGGCTAGGATGTGATGGATTCCTTATAGAGAGAACACATTAAAATGGCCCCAGGGGATGGAATGGAGGGAAACAGTGGTCAGTCACTCAGTTGTGTCTGGCTCTTTGTGACCCCACAGACTGTAGCCCACCAGGCTCCTCTGTCAGTGGGGTTTTCCCAGCAAGAATACTAGAGTGGGTTGCCATTTCCTCTTTCAGGGGAACTTCCCCACCCAGGGATTGAACCCACAACTCCTGCATCTCCTGCATTGATAGGTGGATTCTTTACCACTGAGCCACCTGGGAATCCCTGTAGGGAAACAGAGCTCACATAAAACCATCCCCACCTGGAAAAAGCATAAAACTTATCAATGTGAGAGCTGAAAGGGTACCTGGGATCATCTACTCTGATCCATATTTCATAGTTGAGAAGTAAGGACCCAGAGCAGTGACCAGCTGATGACTGGAAGTCAGATCTCCCAGAACCAAGGTTTTCTCCACCAGAACCTCCCACCTCCCAGGGATTAGCAGAGCACCCCCACCCTGGATTGATCTTTAGGACTCTAAGGCAGAGGGAACATAGCATTCCAGACCATAAGAGAGTTCTTGTTGTCCAGTGTGCCTCGACCATAGATGAAGCCATCACGCTCCAACCCAGAGAAGGGGGGCACGTCCCAGCCTCTGTCCGGGGCAGGCACCACGTCAATGTGAGCGAGGAGCATGTAGGGCTGCATGCTGGGGTCTGAGCCTTTGACAGTGAACAGGTGGCTGTAATTTCCTATGACCTCATGCCGGATAAAGCTGGTATGGAACACAGTAGGAAAGACTAGAAGCAAAGAGATGCAAAGCAATGAGAGAAAGCCAGATTCAACAGTTGCCTTTGGTTTTCCTACTAATTGATTCTCCCTGCCCTTTTCCTCCCCTTTAAAACAGGCAGCCTCCTTTAGGAAGCCCTCTGGAACAAAGCTAGTCTGTTCCTGGTTCACTCAATCTCTGAAATATCTCTTGCTCATATTATATTGTGCTATTACTGTGTAATAACAAGCATATCAAGACTGCATCGTTAATGACAGATAAGAGCTCAAGATCTGGACTGACCTGACCTCTAATGCTGTCACAAATACAAGTTACAGAGTGATGCAGACTAGGATTACATTAAATTTTAAATATAATAGGCCCTAGTATCCAAATTATTTGGAACCAAACATGACCTTTACCTGTGTATATTAAAAAATCAGAGATATTTTTCCTTTGCAAAACAATATTCCTAATGTTTGTGTTATACAGAGATAAAAGCTGATCCTGTTGAGCACATGACCATACTTCTGTGTTCAAGTGTTCTCAGGGTCAACTATGCTAGTTACAGATAGGTAATAACACAGGCGGCTTTAGATACACAGGAGGAAGAGCTTTGATCTCTCTTTGTGCTGTGTTCGAAGAATCCACACATGCCTCTGTGGATAACTGAAAACAAGCAAGCAGTCAAACAAACAAAAAACTGAAGAATACATTTCTTTTCTCTTGTCAGCCTGCTTATCTAGTCTACTATTGCTGAACATTTCTTTCCCAATTTTTATTTCCTATTTGGTGAAGACTTTCAGCCTGGCCCCTGGGGATTGATCCCAGATTCCCCACCCCCCATCCCAGAGTGCTAGAGAAGGGACTGCTGGCTGTGCTTTGCCAGCCTCTCCCACTCCTGATGACTTGAGAGGGGGCCATTTTTTATTTGATTTAGTAAAGTGGCCTCACTACTCTGCATGAGCTTTTTTTATGGGGAGGGGGAGCTCCAAGTCTCCTTTTTCCCCTTGACCCATCCTTCTTTAGCTCATGGGCAGTAGGGTGAGAAGAGAGCAATTATGTGATAGTTTAAGGTTTTTGACTGCCTAGCAGCTCAGACACGTGTTAGTAATGAATCTGGAGCAGGGCCTGGGTAGGTGGAGTGTGCCTGTGTGTGGGCTGTAGGTGTGTGTATGGAGGTAGGGAGGGGAGGAGCCTGTGGTGCAGTTCTGGAAACTTGCAAATGAAGAAGGAATTCCCAGTCCTATCTTTTTATTTTATTGACTGACATTAAAGGGCAAAAATTGACAGAGTTCAAACTCCAACCCAATGGCTATGTGCCTTGGTTCTTCAAAGGGTAAATCTAGTCTCTACTCTGTGTCTGCTCTAACTCCTGAACTCTCCCTTTTATCCCTCCCCCCTGTATACAAACATGTCCAAAGAGGCCCAAGCACATTAGGCTGCCCTCTAGTCAATCACAAGATAAACTTCTTTATCACCTTGTAAAAGCACTGTGTCTCCAGTGCTACCTCTCCTGCCCCTTTCCCACGGTTTGTGGCTGACCTTTACGAATGTATTCTCCAAACTCAGCCAGGGCTGTTGTGTTGAGCTCCTTGGGGCTGAAAGACACTGTTGGAATCTGGATGGCACCTGTTGGAGTCAGAGATGGAAGATGATTACAACCACTGATTTTTCCACAGCCCTGTGTACATAAAAAGTTCTCTTGCACTCATTATCTTATTGTGGAGGGCAAAACAATCATTCCAGGTAGGCATTGTTGGTTTTCCTGATTCAAAGGTGAGGAAAAAGTTTAGAAGCATTAGGTGAGCTGCTCAAGATTGTCCAGAAACAAGCAGTAGGACTGGGATTTAAACTCAAGTCCTTTGTTTAGGCTAATATGGTTCTTAAAGGAAGATAAAATCCAAAACGGGATGGAGTTGGGGAGGTCAGACAGGAGTAAATTTTGTACCCTGATCTTAAGTGGGAAGCTGCTATAAATTTCCACTAAGGCCTCACTCTGCCTCTGAAACCACCAACCCTTTGATGACCCCAAGGAGCCCACTGTCCTGGGTCCCTTTGCGAACAAAGCTTTGTATCTTTTTGTGTACAGTGAGTGTGTGAAAGTCACTCAGTCGTGTCTGACTCTTTGTGATCCCATGGACTATACAGTCCATGGAATTCTCCAGTCCAGAATACTGGAGTGGGTAGCCCTTCTCTTCTCCAGGGGATCTTCCCAACCCAGGGATCAAACCCAGGTCTCCTGCATTGCAGGCAGATTCTTTACCAGCTTAGCCACAAGGGAAGTACTCTTTGTGTACAGAGAGTAGGCTTATTCCTCATAGACTGGTTAATCCAGAGTGTCACTGATCTCAGCCCAGGTCAGCTTTGGGGGCACATGATACCTGGGAAGGGGGGCATTTAGAAGCTCCCAAACAAGCTCCTTTGTGACAAACGATCTAATCCACTCTACCCAGAAGTCCAGTTCTTGAGTTGCCACTAGGTTCATTCCTTGGTGAAGGTTTTATATTCTTAAAGATTTCCACTGTCAAATGCAAACAGTAGGGGGTGGGGGTGGTGTCATGAGATAATTTGATTAGATGGTTATCTAAAAAGCACCCAGAGCAGCTAGATGTCAAGGGAGGCCTCTGACTTCTGTACTCGGTTTTGCGAAGAATCAACCCTGCATCATAGCCTACCAATAGGTGGGGATGCCAAGGTTCAAAAAGACTAAATGAACTGCCTATGTGAGATTGAGAGGCAGACTCAAGATCTGAACTCAGATGTTTTGCCTCGGCTTGGGGTTCTAAGTCATGGTGCTATGAGGTCCATATTTTAGTTTTTTATCTAGCTTTTGCTTTCTTTTGTGCAAAGAGACTCTGGTGAGTGGCTGCCCAATGCCTTTCAGAGAACTCTTTACACTAGGATGCTTTGGGAAAGCCCTGCTCTGCCTCCCAGGCCTATCACTCCAGCACAAACACAGTTTATATTTAACAACAAGGGATAGCTCTTGCATTTGCCTGAATGTTTATTTAGGCAGTTTCTTTTAATCCATTACTTAATGGAAGGGAAAAGACTGAAGATAAGCCCAACGGTGAGGAAGGATCTCATTGTTTTCATTGTTTATTCCCTAAGTCGTGTCCTGACTCTTTTGCGACCCCATGGACTGAAGCCTGCAGCCTGTCAGGATCCTCCGTCCATGTGATTTCCCAGGCAAGAATACTGGAGTGGGTTGTCATTTCCTTCTCCAAGGGATCTTCCCGACCTAGGGATTGAACCCGTGTCTTTTGCATCCTTTCACTGTTGAGCCACCATCTCTTTTCTCCTGGATAATGCAGACTGAGAAGGTAAGTTTTTAGCTTGGTTTGAGGTCTAGGGGAAAGATGTCCTTTAATTGGTAGAGGAAATTAAGAACATCTCACACCTCAGCAACAGCCCCATACTTCTTTATGGAGCCATCTAGAACCCGAAGGATCCTACAGGCATAAGAGGCTGTCACCCAGTGCTTACTCCAAGATGTAGGGTCCTGGGAAAGATGGTGCGGCTGACCTAAATTTCAGTTTCCCTCATCTGTACATAAATAAGGTTCAGATCGTTTAGTCTTAAGAGACTTAATAAGTGAAGACTATCAAAGGTTAAAGGCTGTAATGCTCCAGGGAAGGCAAGCGGAGGTGGGGGTGGGGTAGGGTGGATGACAGCCTGGTCAACCCAGGCGAAGTTCAAGCTTCCAGGGTAGGCAAGGAACGCCCTGGAGTCCCCAGGAGGCAGGTGTAGGAGCAGAGTGCGGTCTCCAGGGGCCCGAAACGGGGCTGGGGCTTGGTGGTGGGGTGTTGCTCAAGCTCGAGGGGCGGACTTCTGCGGCGGGGGAAGGGAGTCACGGGTTGGCCCGAGGAGACGGGGACCATTATCTGAGAATAAGCGGTGAAGGGGACCCGGGTTCACCTTTCAGCGCTTCCTTCATGGCGATGCGCTGCTCTTGGCTGAACTGAGAAGGGATTCGCAGCTCCTTTTGACTCTCCGTGCCCCGCAGGCCCTTCGATCTGGAGACGGCGGCGATACCTAGGAGCAGCGCAGACAGCGAGGCTAGCAGGCAGACGGACGGCCGAGCCATGCTCCTCTCACGTCCTTGCAGCCTGTCGGCGGCTGGAGTTTGGACCTAAACGTACAGATCGAGTTCTTCCCTCTGTTACTGCTCCAATTCCCGCAACGGCCTTAGCCCCGCCCCAATCCCAGAGCTGGCCAATCGCCGCTCCCCTGGAGACGCGGACCCACCAATCCACGGGCGACCCCGCCCCAGGCCCGCAAGGCCTTTCGGGGGTTGTGGCCTCCCGCCGGGTAGCGGGTCGCTGTGGAACTGAGGTATAGTGGGGCGCCAGGCTATTTAACCGGCAGGTCTGGCGTGCGTGTCACCTTCTGCTTTGAGATGCTAGTCAATCCCTTTCTTCATGACAACAAATCAGATAAAAGGGGGAAGAGGCAAGTAAATGAACCAAGCTTATCAGACTTACCTTCTCGCTTCCTCTGAAGCTTAGGGTTTGACCGGTCTCCTAGGTTCCTTGAGGGAAGCTCTCCACCCTCGGCTCGGCTTCATTTGAATCAGGACAATATTGTTCTGTCCATGGACATTGTTCTAAAGTATTTTGGATCAGAGGAATTGCTTCTGCTTAGGAATTCGCTGGAAGTGTTTCTGATATCAATGTTGAATTGCATTTTTGCAGTCCTAGGCAAATGCATTAAGGCTGAAGGATTTTTAGAAAGATTATGCATTAATAGACTTCCCTGGTGGCTCCAGACAGTAAAGTGTCTGCCTACAATGTGGGAGACCTGGGTTCGATCCCTGGGTCGGGAAGATCCTCCGGAGGAGGAAATGGCAACCCACTCCAGTACTCTTGCTTGGAAAATCCCATGGACGGAGGAGCCTGGTGGGCTGCAGTCCACGGGGTCGCTAAGAGGCAGACACGACTGAGCGACTGAACTTTCACTTTCATGTGTTACTAACTTCAGTGTGTCCAACAAACTGAAATGTGATAGCTTTCAGAGTAGAGGGTCATTCTGAAAAACAAAACCAAAAAACCTCGTAAAATACAGACACTTAAAGTTAGATTTCCTGGAACCTAAAAAACTTTTCCTTTCAGATCCCTTGATGCAATATAATATGGTACCACTCTCACATTTTACAGTTCCCTAAAAAAAAACCTCATAAGTGCTCTACGGTCAGTAACTAGTCATGACCAAACTTGCAAATTCACACTCCTGGTGTTTGCAAAAGCTCAGAAAGGGAGTGCTTTGCTCCAGCTCTTTCACTTATCCTACTTGAAAAACCAAAATAAAAACGCCCCTGCAATCGTGTATTTGTTTTTCAATAGAATTTCGAAACAATATTATGAAAACTTGACACATGTAGAAACATGTAAAGAATAATAAAGTGAACATTTCTGTATTCACTATGCAGCTTAACCCCTAGAATATTAAAGATGGAATTGACCTGGGGTCCAGCTTAGCCCCCTCCGGCGGCCTGCCTGGCGCTTGGGGAGGGCGTAGTCTCCCTCAGCTGCTTTTTCAGCCACTTCTGGCTGTGGGTGGACTGCAGGGCCCTTGGGTTTCTGAATGGTTGTCCAAGGGGCTGGGGTGCCCTTTGATGATGTGGAAGCTCACTCCCCAAGGGGCAACTCTTGGCTAATGGGAAGAGGCAGACTAGATGGAAAGTGGTCAAGTCCCCTCCTTCCTCTTTCCTCAGCTGTTCTGGGGGTGTGGTCACATCTGCTGCGGGGCCAACTCTGTGACTCCTGGTGAACCAGGGTCCACCCTCCACCCACACTCACTACCCTTTGGGATTGTGTCTTTCCTGTGAAATATTTGCCCCCGGCTCTGATTTCAGAGAACCAACCATTCATGACAGAACAAGATGCCCAAATCTTAGAGGCTTAAAAAACCTCATGGTCTCATGATCTGTGGGTCAGTCATTTGGGCTGGGCTCAGCTGGGGGCAGTGCTGCCAGTCTTGCCGGAGATCACACTGTGACCATGGTCAGCTGGCAGCTGGATGGTCTAACATGGCCACACTCAAGTTTGGCAGTAAGGCTGGGCCCTGGCTGGTGGGCTGGGGAGACTCAGCTGCTCTAGGAGGCCCCTCCTCACCCGTTCCCTGTCTTGCCTGCGCCTGGGAGTGGGCTCAATTGGGACCACAGTCCTCCCAAGTCTCCCTGCTGGGATGGTGCCAGGGAATGCATTCTGCCTCCTGCCCCGAACCTGCCCTTTGTGCTATGGGCAGCTAATGGCACTGGCCCTCTGTCCACACCCCTGGTAGGGTGTGTGATCCTGTTTGTAGGGTCCCCTGCCCCTCCATTCTCAAGGCTCAAGCACACCAAGACCCAAGTCTGTGCTACTCTAAAGATGATGACAAAACACAAGTGAGGAAGTTCCAGCTTCTTCTGAACACCACCACTCAGATCAGCACAGACCCTAGATGTGTGGCTTTCTGGCTACCTTGGCCCACTGCTCCCAGCTCTGTACTCCCTCCCTCCAGGTTCCCACAAGGTTGACCTTTGCTCTCTCCCCAGCCTCCACAGCTCTGGCTCTCTGTGGTCTGTAAAGTGGACCTTCACCACATACTATACTCCTGCCACATACTTGTGTTGCCATTTCTCACCAAAAAGAACTAGAAGCATCAATATGAACAAAGCTAGTGGAGGTGATGGAATTCCAGTTGAGCTATTTCTAATCCTGAAAGATGATGCTGTGAAAGTGCTGCACTCAATATGCCAGCAAATTCAGAAAACTCAGCAATGGCCACGGGACTGAAAAATGTCAGTTTTCATTCCAATCCCAAAGAAAGGCAATGCCAAAGAATGCTCAAACTACCACACAATTGCACTCATCTCACATGCTAGCAAAGTAATGCTCAAAATTCTCCAAGCCAGGCTTCAACAATATGTGAACCATGAACTTCCAGATGTTCAAGCTGGTTTTAGAAAAGGCAGAGGAACCACAGATCAAATTGCCAACATCCACTGGGTCATTGAAAAAGCAAGAGAGTTCCAGAAAAACATCTATTTCTGCTTTATTGAATATGCCAAAGCATTTGACTGTGTGGATCATCACAAACTATGAAAAATTCTTTAAGAGATGGGAATACCAGACCACCTGACCTGCCTCTTGAGAAATCTATATGCAGGTCAGGAAGCAACAGTTAGAAATGGACATGGAACAATGGACTGGTTCGAAATGAGAAAAGGGGTACGTCAAGGCTATATATTGTCACCATAATTATTTAACTTATATGCAAAGTACATCATGAGAAATGTTGGGCTGGATGAATCACAAGCTGGAATCAAGACGGCCGGGAGAAATATCAATAACCTCAGATATGCAGATGACACCACCCTTATGGCAGAAAGTGAAGAAGAACTAAAGAGCCCCTTGATGAAAGTGAAAGAGGAGAGTGAAGAAGTTGGCTTAAAGCTCAACATTCAGAAAACTAAGATCATGGCATCCAGTGCCATCACTTCATGGCAAATAGATGGAGAAACAGTGGAAACGGTGTCAGACTTTATTTTTTTGGGCTCCAAAATCACTGCAGATGGTGATTGCAGCCATGAAATTAAAAGTTGCTTACTCCTTGGAGGAAAAGTTATGACCAGCCTAGACAGCATATTAAAAAGCAGAGACATTACTTTGCCAACAAAGGTCTGTCTAGTCAAGGCTATGGTTTTTCCAGTAGTCATGTGAGAGTTGGACTATAAAGAAAGCTGAGCACCAAAGAACTGATGCTTTTGAACTGTGGTATTGGAGAAGACTCTTGAGAGTCCCTTGGACTGCAAGGAGATCCAACCAAGTCCATCCTAAAGGAGATCAGTCCTGGATGTTCATTGGAAGACTGACACTGAAGCTGAAACTCCAATACTTTGGCCATCTGATGCAGAGAGCTAACTCATTGGAAAAGACCCTGATGCTGGGAAAGATTGAAGGCGGGAGGAGAAGGGGACGACAGAGGATGAGATGGTGGGATGGCATCGCCGACTCAATGGACATGAGTTTGAGTAAACTCTGGGAGTTGGTGATGGACAGGGAGGCCTGGCGTGCTGCAGTCCAAAGAGTCAAACACGACTGAGTGACTGAACTGAACTGAACTGAACTGAAGTTGCTTGTTGGCCAGAGTCTGCCCTGAAGTTAGGCAGTGGGTTGGGGCAGGGCTGCAGCAGGGCTGTGGGTATACCTGTGCCCCAATCTGGGTCATAGTCACAGCGGCTGCCCCCTCATGCCATGTTAGCATCTGTCCTTTCACCGTGGGGCCATTATCACCTCCCCTGTCATCCCTCAAGCAAAACTACTCTGTGGAAGTACAAGGTCCTAATGGATTTGTGCATTTTCTGCACCACAAATTAGATGAGATTTGTGAATGGGAAAAAAATAAAGTTGAAATGATTTTTTTGAAGTGGACATTGACAGAATTTTTATTAAAAGTAGTTTAATTCTTACCAAACTGAATTTTTTTTTTTTTACCAAGTTGCCGGGCTTTTGGGATCTCAGGTCCCCAACCAAGGATTGAACCCTGCATGGCAGTGAAAGCCCAGAAATCCTAACCACCAGGCCACCAGGGAACTCCCCCCAAACTTAAAAATTTTAATTGTCAACTCAATATACGTTTATGCTCCTGTGAACTCTTTGGAAAACACAGGAAAGAGAAAGAAAAAAAAATCAGGTGCCATCCCAATATCCAAAGATATTCACTCATAATATTTTGATGTTGCCCAATTTTTTCCTACACTCACAAATACTCACACATGAAATATGCATCTGCTTTAAAATGAAACAGATGCATACTATAGGCAGAGTTCTATATTTTGCTTCTTTCTTTTGACATTATCATAAGTATTACCCTGTCCTTAAATATTCTTTAAATTCTCTTATCATGTAATATTTAAAAGTTAATGACTGTATGTAATGACTATGTAAAGCAAATAATCACGCAACTGTGACCTCCCCAATGATCAATAACACTGAAGGTGTGTATGTGACCCATTGCCTCTATCCCTCAGTTCCTGCCCAAGTAACCACTACTTGAGATCGTGTGTGTCTATGTGTGTGCTTTAAATAGTTCTACCACATATGTGTGAGCCCTGACATATATGTATATGTATGAGAGGAGAGTTTGGTTTTGCTTGCTTTCATAAAAATGATAGCATAGTCCTATGAAAAGTTTTTTCACTCAAAATTCTGTTTCTGCTATTTATTTATACTGTTATATCTAGCTGTGGTCTATTCACATTCACAGTGCATGATATTGCATTCTGTGAACATACAAACATCTGTTGTACTTGTCTCTTGGGCTACAGGTGAAAGAGATTCTCTGCGGTATATCCCAAAGTGGAAATGTTGGGTTGGACTGCATGAGGGTATTCAACTGGAAATTCTGAATCATTTTCCAAGGCTATTGCATGAGTTTATATTCCCATCATTGAGCTGCATATAGTATGTAACTTCCTGTTGCTTCACTTTCTTGCCAGCACCAGACACTTCAGATGAATAATTTTGCCTATTTTGTGGCTGGAAAGTGATATCTCATTGTGGTATTACTTTGTACTTCCCAGTTTATTAAGGAGTTTAAGTATCTGTTCATATGTTTATTTGCTATTTGTGTTGTCCAAACAAAATGGCTGTTTACTTCTTTTGCCTATTTTTGTTTTGAGTTGTTCTCCTTCTTATTGACTCTTCAGAGTATCTAAATATTGTGGATAGTAATATTCTGTTGGTTATATTTATGTTGCAAATATTTATGTCCATTTGTCTCTTGTATTTTCACTTTCTTTACATTGTTTTGATGAACTGAAGTCTAATTTTAATGTAGGTGAATTTATCAATCTTTTGTTTTCTTGTTTAATATCATTTCCTATTTAAGGTTATAAATATATTTTGATATGCTATCTTTTTAAACTTTTGCCTTTTACATCAAAGATCTTAATCCATCTGGAATTGCTTTTCTATAAATGGTGTGAGGTCAGGTCTAATTTTGTTTTTCTCCAACTAGATAGCAGTTTTTCTGGGATCATTCATTAAACAGTCTATCCTTTCCTCAGTGATCTACAAGGACAACTTTCCCATTTACTAAGTTTTCAGTATGAATGAGCCCATTACTGGGCTTTCTATATTGTGCCATTGGCTTCGTTTATTCCTATGCTAATATGACTGTCTTAATTACTACAACTTTAAAATGTGTCTCAACATCTGGTGGAGCATGTTTCTCCTTTAGCCTGTTAATGTAATGAATTATGTTAATAAGTTGAAAAAATGTAAACCACCCTGACATTCCTAGGATAAACTCAACTTTGATAAACCCATTGCTGTATCTTCTTTTAGAGTTTTTGCAATTCTATTTTTAAGTGTGATTGGTCTGTAATTTTTTTTTTTTTTGGACTTGTTATCAAGTGTATAGTAGAAATCTAGTTAGAGGATACTGTAGTGATTTCTAGCTGCCCTATATTTGTTTCTCCTTCCTTCTAAGTAATAAGAACCCTGATGAGCTCAACACATTGACACCCAGATAAAAAATCAAATTTCCCAGACCCACCCTTGTAGCTAGGTTTGCCATGTGACTAAATTTGGAGAATGAAGGATAAGTAGATGCTCTCTGCTTAAATCACTTTCTCCAGTTTCACATGTGATGGTTGGCAGCTCCAGCAGGCATGCTGGACCGTGAGGATCTGCTTTTACGAGGAGGGAAGGAGCTAGAGAGAGAGGGAGCTAGGAGTGGGGGCGGTGCGGAGAGAGAGGGGGAGGGAGTGGGGCGGTGCGGAGAGAGAAGAAAGGAGAAGAAGGGGAGCAAAGGGGAAAGAAAGGGAAATCTGAGCTTGACTTTCCTTCCATTTGTTTTATTTGCTTGTTTTTTGCATTTTCTGGAAGAGTGTTTATAAAGTAGGATCAAATATCTAAGATATTTTCTAATAATTCTAAAAAACGGAATAATTTGGACCTGGTGTTTTCTCTGTGGGAAGATTTTAAACTGATGATTTCACTTAATAGTTACAGGATTTTTCAACTTTCTACTGTTTTCTTGATTCCATCTTTGGTATATTATATTTACTAGCAATTTATTCATTTCATTTAAGTTTTCAACTTTATATTAGCTAAGAGTTTAAACTCTGGAGCCGGATTGTCTGAGTTACATTCCAAGGCCTTCAACGTTCATTTAGTTGTGCTGATGATCTTGGGAAATTCATTTAATCTTTCTGAGCCTCAGTTTCCTCATCTGTAAAATGGAGATACCAACAGTATGTACCTCTTAGAGTTGTTGGGGAGGTTAAATTAGTTTATGTACATGAAGAAGAGCACATGGCATATAGTAATTGTTGAATGGGTGTGAGCAGTTCTTACTGTCTCCTTTCTTTTGTTTTCTTTACATTTGTTTGTTTTCCAACTGCCATAGTTGAATATTTGGCTCATTAATTTTTTTTAAAATTCTAGTATTTATTAAATTATAAAGTCTGTAATCAAAAAAAAAATGTGGATCAAGAGAAACCTCTAACTACAAGGACTAGATGGCAAAGCCTATGGGAACGCCATGAAGTGTGTTACAGACAAGATTCTGAAACATAAGTTATAAGCTGTTTTCTTTACATTTCCATTTCAGTAACCTTACTATTAAATAGTTGTTGTTGTTCTATTTTAAAACCCCAAATTCACATTTGTTCTCACGTTAAGCTTTCTGTTCATACTGATACCAGACTTCTTGTAGGTGCCAAATTTTAATAATGGTTTTATGTCAGTCCATGCAGAAAAATAGGAACAAATGCAGTAGTCAGATAAGGACCATTAATGCACAGATAATACACACATGCTGGCCAAAAAAACTGAAGGTATTTTAAAAAACTATAAACAGACCTCAAGAAAACTGGGTTATTACTAAATAGCTCTCAACTATTAACACCCAAGTTCCTTATATTAAATAAATTTCTCAACAGAGATGTGTTAGACATTTTAATTACAGGTCTATCCTTCCCATACCCTTTCCCACCCCAACTCCCAAAATGCACTACTAGGGATGAGTGTAATGTTACGTGGGCAGAAATTTACAGATAACCATTTTCATCTTGAGCATGGATCTGAAAACTTTTTTATTTAAACTTCCGTTACTGTGCACTGTCCATCAGGCCTTCGAGATCTGACACTCAGTGTTCCACCCTCTGCCACTGATCGATCAGTTCCTGATCGATCAGATACTGTCTGATTTGGATTAGGAACCAGAAGTCTCTGTTGGGTCAAGGAGTGTTGTGCAACAAGCGCAGATACATCCTCACTATCACTACTGGCATCGGATTCGGTTTCTTCAATCGAAGTGTCTGGTGCTGGTACCCTACCTGAAGATGGCGATTCATGCTCTTCTTCTCCTTCCCCTCTATGACTCCTTTCCGCTATGCTGTCTCCACTGAGTTGTAAATGTGCAAAAGAGTCTTCCAGAGAAGTGATTGCATCAGGGGATGGCGTGGCGGGGCTTGTTAGCTGACCATCTACTGACGTCAGGGGCCTCACAGAAGAAGACTGAACAGAAGCTCCGCTCTGAGCCGGTACACTGTCCGCTCCATCAGCAGAGCTCTCTCTTGCTAGGTTTACGGTATTAGCATCACAGTCCAGCCTAAGTCCGGCTACTCCCTTCTTTGGTATATCTATTATATCCCACTTGATCTTCCTGCGACGTCCATGTTCGTTTCTGCTATACTGTACCATATTTTCAAGATCGGCAACATACAGAAACCCGGCAATTAACATTTCAGTGCTCTTTTTACCTTTGGAAAAAGCGTCTTCCAGCTCTCTGCTAGTGCGCTCATCGTACTGCCACCACCCATTTCTCCCTTCGTAATACCAGGCATATTCACCATTTCCTCTGCTTGCTGCTTTGAGTTCTTCTGGTGACAACAAGGTTGGCTTATCAAGGAAATCTTCGGGAATTTCTTGTCGACAGAGGGCACATCGCTTTCCAAGCCACGAAGCTCCCTTCACACATAGATAGCAGAAAACATGCTTACAAGGCAGACTGACTGGGTGAACACATGTCTGCAGACAAATGGCACATTCAGGGACAGTTAGAGAAGGTGCAGTATTAGAACAGGACTCATTTGCTTTCCTGTTCGTAGGAAGCATGTTTAAAGAGTGATCAATTTCTCCACAGCCAGCCATCATTTCTATTACAGACCCCACAGATGCCTGCCACAAAAATAAAATCTCATCTTCATGAGTAATCAGCCAGTTTGCATTATTTTCTCCTCCATTGCTGGATCATCCTGTGCTCTGTGGACACAGCCGAAGCCACCTCGCCGTCTTTTCTCTTCGGCCTCCGAGCCCGCAGCGGCCGGGCACGAGCGCGCGCGTGCGCGCGCGATCCTGGCTCATTAATTTTTGTCTTTTTTCTTTTCTGATAAAAGCATTTAGAGCTATAAATTTACTATAATGCACTCTTTCCTGTGTATCATGGGTTTTGATATGTAGTATTTTCACTATTGTTTAGGTCTAAGTGTTTTAAAGTTTCCATATAATTTCTTCTTTGACTATGAGTTTTTCAGAACTGTTTTTAAAATTAAAAAAAATGTATACCTTTCTGTTCCCTTTTTGTAACTGATTTTTAACTACAATGCAGTCTCACAAAATGTGGAATGATACCTGTGTTTGAAATTTGTTGAGAATTGCTGTAGGGCCTAGTATATGAACAATTTTTGTAAATATTTCATATGTACTTAAGAAGTGTAAATTTTAGTTGTTGTATGCAGAATTCTATGTATGTTCACTAAATCAAGATTGTTTACTTTATTGCTTAACTCTTTCATACCTAACTTTTTAAAAATCTGTATGAGTTACCAACAGTATATTGAAATCTTCCATTGTGTGGCTGGATTTGCCATTTTTTCCAGTTTTTAAAATATCAATTTTGCTCTATTTATTTTGAGACTTTTATTGGGTGCATTCAAATTTAGAACTGTTGAAAATTTTATCATGACATAGTGGTCTTCTTTATGCTTCATGGTCTCCTTGTCTTAAAGCCAATTTTTTGCAATTAATATAGCTACCTCATTCTTTTGGTCAATATTTGTCTTGTATATGTTTTCTTCCATTTTTGTGTCCCTATGTTTTACAGGGTCTCTGAATTTAATTTTTAATCTAATCAGATAATTCCTTTTACTAGTGAGATTAGTTATATTTTTTGTGATTTCTTGTGTATTTGGGCTTATTTTTATCTTCTTTTTATTAGCACTACTTTTTCTATGCTTCTTTCCTGCCATGTACTGGCTTTTTAAACAGTTTATTAAATTTTCATCATGTGGGTTTTTTTATTATCCTATTCTCCTCTGCCTCACTGGTTTGGACATTATATTCTTTTCCATCTTATGATTTACTATTGAAATGTTATATTCATACTTAATAAATTTGAATTTAATACCGTAACTCTTTTCCTCTGAAAAATAAGAAGACATTTGAACACTTTAACTCTGGTTGCCTTCTCTTTATATGCTCTTGTAGTTTGTTATTTTAATTTTTAAATTTATTTTTTAAAAATAACCTAGTTATGCTATTATTATTATATAGACATTTCTTTATATTTACCAATATGTTTACCTGTTTCCTTGTTTAATCTTTCTTCTTGAATCTCAAAACTTACTTCTGGAATAATTTTTATTTTTCCCAATATTCATCCTTTTGAAGCCACTTGATTGAAAGTTGTGACAGTCAACTCTCTCAATTGTTGTCTATTTGAAAATATCTTTATTTTATACTCATTCTTGCAAGATAAATTTGAGTATACAATTTTATGTTGATGGTTATTTTAACACTTTGAAGACATTAATTTACTGTTTTCTGGGGTCCATTTTTTTCTGTTGAGAAGTTGTCTGACAATGTAATTATTGATGTTTTGTAGTGAATTGCTTTCGCTCTGGCTCCTTTTAAGGGCTTCTCTTTGTTTTTAGTGTTCTTAAGTTTCACTACAAGGTGTCTAGAATCTCTTTTTTTTAATGTGTACAATTCAATATGTTCACAGATTGTGCAACCATCACCACAGTCAATTTTAGAGCATTTTCATCACCCCCTAAAGAAACCCTGTACCTTTTGACCATCACCCCCTAATTCCGTTCACCTTCCTTCCTAGACCTAAGCAATCACTAATCTACTTTCTGTCTCTATATACCTACCTATTCTGGACATTTCATGTAAATGGAACAATATAATATGTGATCTTTTGTGTCTGGTTTATTTCATTCAACATAGTTTTCAAGGTTCACCCGCATTATAGCCTGTATTAATACCTCATTCCTTTTTCTGTTCAAATAATATCACATTATATGAGTATACCACATTTCATTTATTCATCTTTCATCTATTGGTAGACATGTGGATTTTCACTGTTTGACTTTATGAATAATGTTAGTATAAGCCTTCATATATATTAAAGAATAGTTGATTTACAATGTTGTGCCAATCTGCTGCACAGTGAAGTGACTCATTTACACATGTGTAAACAACAAGATCCTAATGTATAGCACAGGGAATTATAGTCAATATCCTGTGATAAACCATGATGGAAAAGAATATTAAGACTGTATATATGTGGATAATTCATGGTGGGTTTGATTTGCATTTCCCAGGTGGCAAATGATGTTGATGATGTTGACATGTGCTTATTGGCCATTTGTATATCTTCCCTGGAGAAATGTCTATTAAAATATTTTGAGTTGCAAGTGTTTTTTAATGTTCTAGATACAAGTCCCTGCTATCAGATGTATGATTTGCAATAGTTTATTCTGTTCTGTGGGTTGTCTTTTTACTTTCTTGATGGTGTCTTTTGAAGCACAGAAGTTTTAAATTGTGATGAATTCAATGTACCTATTTTTTTCTTTTATTGTTCTTTTATTGGGCATTTGGTGTCATATCTAAGAATATTTTGCCAAATCCTAGGTCATGAAAATTTACCTCTGTGTTTTTTATAATATCTTATATCTATATTCTTTTAATAGCTATTTCTTGAATAGATATTTCTTAATTTGCTGTTTTCCCTTTTAGGACCATTTATAGAGGCTTAAATTAAGAAAAAAAAATGTTACCAGTTTCACTGGGGAGCTGGTCAATGTAGTGCCTCACACTGTCATGACAGACATTGATTTTTCTCGATCCTTTTGTGATAAAAATGTGAAAAAATTATAAAGTATATTTTCCAATACTAAAGCCAGAATTATGTTTAATGATAAAAAGTAGAAACTTTAGCATTAAAGTCAGAGAATAAAGAGAAGGATGTCTACTTTCACCACTATTATTTAATATCATTTTTGTAGGAACTAGTCAAGACAAATAAATAAGAGAAAGAGATTAGAGGTATAAAGATTTGAAAAGGAGATAAAATTATAATTGTTTGTAGACATAGTATGTATTGCTGGCAAACTTGAAATATTCAATAGCCAAACTACCACAGAACTATTAATATTGTAAGAATTCAGCAGGTACTCTGGGTACAAAGTTAATATACAGAAATCAAGAGCAAACATTGACCAGCTAGAAAATACAAGATTACATTATATTAAAAAAAGGTTAAAAAAAAACTAGGAATAAACTTGAAAAATGTGTAAGATCTATACGAGAAAACACCATTTAAATTATCAAAAGGAGATCTAAATAGGAAAGAATATGGCATCCTTAAATAAAAAAGCTATATCATAAAAATGTTGTAGGTGGGGACTAACCTTTCCAGATGTTAAAAAAATTACTACAAATCCTCTATAATTATCTTCTGTCTATCTATCTAGAGGAAATGGCAACCCACTCCAGGATTCTTTCCCAGAAAATCCCTTAAACAAAGGAGCCTGGTAGGCTACAGTCCGTAGGATCACAAAGAGTTGGACATGACTGAATCACTGGCAAGAGCACCTGAGATCTATCTATCTCGTATTGGTATAGTCACAATTATTGTTTTTAGTGGTTTAAAATCCATCTTGTGTTTATTTTGGTGCCCCAGTTACCCTACATTTGGTTAGCAGAAGGTGCTTGAATCTGATTCCTGTGTCCTTGTGATATGCCTCCATCATTTTTGGGGAACGATTTCTTGCCTTCTGACCCAGAAAGTTGTTTCAGATTCATTTCGTCCCTACCCTGCCCTGGCTCTGTAACCAGTCATTGCTCTGAGGGGCCCTGGTCCCTCTTAATAATGAATTGTACTAGAGACCATGTTTAGCAATGCAGTCTTAAAATACTCCATTCCATGGTAGAATGGGGAGATCATCTTATAGAATTAAAAAATTGAGATATAATTGATGTATAACCATTTATTAGTTTTAGGTATACAATATAATGATTTGGTATTTGTTTATATTGTGGAACAATGACCACAATAAGTCTAGTTAACATAGAAGTTTTGACACTTCTTCCCCAAAGACTGCTAAAGCCATGTTGTAGTTTTACAACTAATGGTAAAAATGTGTTTTAAAGGTAGGTTAAAGAAATGCATCTGATTTAGATGCTGCTTATATGCCACTCAAAACTCTCTTTAGAGGTAATAGTTCTGAGCAGTCTTACCTGCTGACCTCTCCTGGAGCCAAGCACATCTCTTCCTTCCTGCCCTGGGGGTCTCCCTGATGCCACAGCAAAGGGCCCCTCGGGACTGCTCTGTGCTCACGTCCTTGCAACCCACATAGATCACCCTTGGCCAAGAGAAGGTGGGAATGATGATTCAACGTTTCTCCAGGTCAGTTCGGAGGCGCACTTCACAGGGCTCCAGGAGGTTGGGGCCCCAGTTGCCCTCTGTACGGGCTACAGTAACTCATTCTTTTGTGGGTTTTCCCTCCCTGCCTGTTTCACTCCTTCTGCCTTTCACCACTGCTCCCTGGGGTCACTTCTCAAATATCTGTGTGGAAGCTTTTGTCTCATGTTCTACTTTTAATGGTTAGGTTGAGACGGTATCATTAAAAATACATATAAAATTCAGAAGGGAGGGATGCCCATTGCCAACTTACTCAGATCTTGAAGGGCATTTAAACAGCTTGGTGAGGCAAGATTAGTTTGTTTTAGATGCATAATTGTTTTGGAACTCAATGGCTTCTCTGCCTCTACACCGCATCCTCTTCCTCCTTCACCTGTTCTCCCTTTTCTAGCTCTCTTGATGTCTTTGTTTCCATACGTTTATCCTGCTGATCTTCCTTCCTTCTTTGCTTTGTCTTATCTCTAGTCTTCCATCTCTTGCCACTTCATCCTATTTCTGTCTCCAGACAGAAGGAGTCTTTGCTCTTTTTCTGTGATTCCTCTTATTTCCTACAGTTAGCAAACAAAGTTCTGGATCAGCCAAGCTTGTTGGACACTCCAGTCCTTTGGCCTTTTGCTCCCTGCATTGTCTCACAAATAGGGGAGGGAAATGTGGGATTAGGCTGTGTGGCCCCCCGAACTGGGGATTCTGAAAGCTTTGCTGAATATTGATAGGATTGGCCCATTCGAGAGACATCTCATGAATACTGAAGAATTAGCACATGAAACAGTGGAAGTCTGACTTCCTTGATAGCCACAGAAACCACAAAGTTGGCTCTGGGCACTGTCTTGAATTGGAGGATCCCTTACACCAGGCGTTTCACCCTATCTCTGTTCTTCAGCTGTATCATGGGAGTTTATTCATTCCCAGGAGTGGAAAACCAGACCCCAGAGAGGAGCTGGGGGACTCAAGGAGAAGTCTTAGCTTTCCGTTTCTTTCCCCCGGGGGCTTGGGCAAAGCAAGGCCGCCTCTTCCTGGAGGTGACTTGTTTGTCTCTCTGTAAAACCACCTGAACACTTGCATTCATTCACATTTCAAAACCACTTTATTAGCAAAATGAACAAAAGGAGAATGGCATTTAAATTAAATAAATTACACAAATATCTCAAGAGTCCTGGTTCCCGGGAACCACATCAGTATCCCTAAGAACATTCAGAAGTTTTGAAATCCCGGATGCTTTCACTACCTTCCCTCCTTCCCTGCCTCAGTCACGTTCGGTAAGTGGTCTGTGTGAGCTTGTGTTCTCGCTAAGGCATTCCAGCAGCGAGTTCTCTTCCGGCTGTCTCTCTGCACCCTGGGTGTTTCCCACCTTATCTCCGCCGTGGACTCGGGTAGTACTTACATTCTTGGACATGGTACAGGACCCCTCCCTGAGCCCCCACTCGAGGCCACTGTGTGCCAGCAATCCCCTTTAGGTCTGGGGCTGGCCTGGGGGTTTGCGGTCACTTCAGCAAGTCCTCAAGGGTTCTAGACACTTGGTTCCCAAGGCACCTGTGACTTGGGATGTCCTGAGACTCTGTGATCTTTCCCCCACTTCTTGGGCCTGAGCTGGACTTTGCTGGAGGTGGAGCAGGGGAGGTTGACTTTTCATTGGCCACGGTTCTTGTCCTCTCGAAATTTGGCACTTCGGGTGCTGGGCACAGTGAATCCCAGATAACATTGGCCTCTGCCTTCCAAGTTTTGAGTTCCATTGGCAGCCAGATGGCATAATGAATTCACAGAGAAGCAGTGCTTGTAGGCCAAGAATCTGTTGGCTCTTCACCAGCACCCCCTCCTTTAACTCTGTGAAGACTTGCTCGCTGACCAGCTCACGCTTAACAGACACACAATGTAGGTCAGGCTGAAATTAGGAATTCGACGTTTTTCCAGGCTGGGCCAGCCCAACCCTTTGGGCAGGGATCATTCATTGAAGGAGCTCAGGAGACACAGTGGGCAGAGGCCAAGGTGTTTTCTGTGCTCTTCCATGGAAAATTTCCCAAAACACCTGCACATGGAACTTATTTATTTTCAAGTCAATAGTGGGTTTCTTCTATGTTTTTTTATAAATACGGAGAACTTAACCCCTCTTCTCATCTTTCCTAGAAGGAAGTGGCCTCAGATCCTGAATTTGTCACGGGATCCCTGTGGGGGAAGACTCAGTCTACATCAGCCCTTCTCCACGCCGGGCACCCAGTTGGGATATGACCTTGGAGTCATCTTCCCTCACATGACTGAACCACTCAGGCCTCGAGCTGAGAAGGGAGGGTTAAAACCATCGGCGCTTTGCCAGAGAAGAGGACAGGCAGACTTCTCCAGTGGGGGAGGCGTTTCTAAGGTTGGGGAGCTGTCGGGGCTTGGGCCCACCAGTTGGCCCTGGACTGATGGAGCATCCTTTCCCTCCATGTCTCCAGAGCAGGGGTTGCCCAAAGCTTTTGTGCAGAGTAACTGGTATCTGTTGCTAGGCTGCCAGAGGATTCTGCCAGCTATCCCCTGTTCCTCCTGGGTTTCTACCTGGTCTCAAGTAGAGGGGAGCAGCCCTCGAGGGCAGGGGGAGTGAAACTGTTTCAGGAGGCTGCCCCTGGGGAGGTAGTTCTGGTGGCCGCTCCCCAGGCTAGAGTCTGATGTGCCAAATAGCAGTGGGGGTCTCAGCAGCCTTGAGAGGAGGAGGAAGGGGGCATAGTCGCCAAGACGGAGATTCCTGGGTGGCTGGAGCCCATGGACCCAGGAGTACAGAGCTGCTGGGATGGACTTGGGGCAGCGGGAGGGGATGAGTCACAGAGTCATGGGCCAGTTTGTCTCTGTGTCCTGTGACAGCCTGACACAGAGGCATGCGGGTCTCGGGGCACTCTCGAAGCTTGCACGCTACGTCATCACGAGCTTTCCCTCCGTTCCTGAGTCAGTCTTGAAGCCTGGCAGTCAAGGGTCCCCTCAGCTGCCACAGGCAGGGTATGGGTGGGTGCAGAGCAGCCAGCAGGAGGTGTGCTCATTGTGGGTTGGGGCCCCGCGGGTCAGTAGGAGCGTGAAGAGGTGTCCCTGCCTGCTGCTGAGACCGGCTAGCTCTAGAGGTGCCTGGGGGGACATCAGAGCAGAGGCACCCGAGTTCCGGCAGAGGTGTTCTCGGCTCTCCACTCCCGGCGATCCCAGGCTCATCCTTCACGGGGTCCGAGGGGCTCTGGAGGCGGCCTGGGCCCTCACAGGGCAGTCAGGGTCTCTGCATGAAACATGCTTCCGAACATCTCCTGCAGCAGCCGCAGGTAGCGAGGGTGGGGGAGAGAGCGTTAGATCTGAGTAGTCACAACTGCCGGGTGACCCTACGAAACCCTGGCCAGTAAGAGGCGTTATGAGGAAGTGAGGGTGCATGTGTGCATGTGTGGGTATGAACAGTGGAGGGGCAGGGTCAGCCAAAGAGGTGAACTGGTATAGAGGTGACGAGAGAAGAAGCTTGAAATCTAGTTTTGAATCACCTCTGCTGTGCTGTGTGATGGTCACAGGCCCCTCCCTCCTTTTCTGCTCTCCTTTCTTCATTAGATCAGGTGACGATTGAGATCAGACAAGTTCTAAAGTCGTTTCTTGCTCCGACAAGCTCTTTTGTCCTAGCCAGGTGTTTGGAATGGGCTGGAGACTCTGGGGGGCGGGGGCCCAGGAATCAGTGTGCCGTCTTTGCGGCCCTGGCTCTATTCCCTAATGCCTGCTGCATGCCACCAGGACTCCCAGAGATGGGCTCAGAGGACCATTGGAACGCATGCCCAAAAAGATTTGAAAGAGGCACCAAGTGAGTTGTTCTTTCTAATAGACCCAGAGCTGGATTTCTCTAAATCTTTGGTTTCTTTTAGCTCAGGGCATTGGGGGTAGGGCTACTTTTCATGTCAGGACCATAGCATTCTATATGAAGTACACGCCACATCTGCATGGCTCTGAAGGGCTGCCCACTGGCAGTAGTATTTGCACCCCTGGAATTCATCTGATCAGATGTGTGCCCACCCTGGGACAGTGTCAGGCAAGTAGTAGGCACACCATCAATACCAGTTGAATTAACAAAAGAACAAAACCATCCCTCACTAATCTTGTTAGGTGGATGGGACAGGCATTCCTCATATTTCCCTTATTTTACAATGATAAACACTGGGGGCCCAGTGGTGTCACATGGCTTGCCCAAGATCATGTGGCCAGTGCGTTGGAGAGTTAAGAATAGATGTTGTTTCTCTAGGACTTGATCCAGTGACTCTCCCTTCCCCCATGATGCCTTTCAAGGAGTAAGAATTAAGATCTGCTATTAAAAGAAAGGTGAGAAAGAAACATTATTGCCTTCAAGGTGACTGTTCTGGCTTCTGGCGGGAGAGCGCAGCCAACACTTTGGGTGGGAGAGGGTCTCCTTCCTTCCCCTTCTGAACCCCGCTAGTCAGCTCACCTGCTCTAAATCCCAGTAGCTGGGGCTGTCCTCCTCCGGCTCATACAGAGAAAGCTCAGGGTCCACGGGCGCCTGGGTGGGGGAAACCAGTGCAGAATGAGCTGCAGTGACTGAAAGATGGTCTGGCACAAATGGCAGGGGTGGGGGGCATCATGTGTTCTGACGCCTAACTTGGCCTCTTGTCCTTGCCCTCTCCTCCCTCATTTGCCTCTCAAAACACAGCACAGCCACGGTTTCCCTCTTCCTCACAGACAGGCGTGCATCAGCATCGGCTCCCTTGGCAGGCACTTCAGAAGCAGGAAAGGCTTACCTAGCTTACCTAGCTGCCTGACCTGGGGAGTCCATCTCCCTTCTCTGTAAAAGTAGGATGATCACACTCACTTTGCTGACTCCCTGCCTTACCACGCTGTTGAAAACAGTGTGTGTGTGTGTGTGAGCGTAACTTACAGATATGAATATATTCTGTAATATGTAAATATACAATTGGTGTAATATACATCTGTAAGAATACTTAAACTGTAAAAACGGCATTATCTGTGCAGTTACAATGATGAGGGTTTCCCCAGAATCGCCCCCTCTCTGGTCCGCTGGCAAAGGGCAGGAGACCAGGAAGGCCACTGCTCTCACAGTTGCCTCTGTGTGGCGGGCGGGCGCCTGGCCCTGTGTTTCCCTGGACAGGCTTTCTGCACCCAGAACAGATGGCTCCAGCTTCATCAGTCTCAAAACGCAAAGAGCAAATGGTTGCTCTAGGGCCAGAAAAGCCTTTCTTATGATCCCCAGAGGGTAGAAGGGGTTTGCATCATGGTCTAGGGCACAGAGGTTTGGCAGGCCGAGGGTCGAAGATGAGCTGGCAGGGCAGCCTGGAAGATGGGGCTATCTGGGGAGGCCTGGGCAGGGACCCCAACGGGATGGGCTTTTTCTGCCTCTCCAGCTTTCTGGAGTGTTATTTGTAGACACTGTTATTTGTAGCTCATTTGCATACCATTTACTGAGCTAGTAAATTAAATGTCAAGAAGCTGAGACAAAACTCTGATCCACACTCTTCATCCGTCACCAGCCTGAAATCTCTAAGCTTGGCTAAATTAAAACCTGCAGGCTTACTCCCCTCCCTTCTCTAAAACATCTTGTTTCTAGGGAAGGAATAGGATGGTTGAGCCATGTCAGAGTACCACGCATAACCTACTGTGCTTCAGGTGTTTGTCTGATCTCAAAACTGATAATACTAAAGATTCTGTATACAAAGCTCTTTCAAGTGTCACAAAAGATATAACTATCAGTTAATCCTGAAACCAAAACAAAAGAAAGATCCTGTGAGGTAGATAATGTTACATTAAGGCACCCATTCCACAGATAAGAAAACAGATTCAGGAAAGTTAATTGAAAGAATAGGTGTTGGAACCCAAACCGTCCTGTTATTTCAACGCCCCAGGGCCTAGGATTCCCCAGGCGCAGAGACCTTACCCCTTGGAAGTCCTGTCCTGGGGCCACTTCCCTGGCCTGTGCCTGGGCAAAAAGGACCGCGTCGTGTATGCTGGGAAAGACGTGACTGCTCTCTAGACACCCGTCTTCAAAGAGGCCTCCCTGGCTGATGTCATTGTACACCTGGGCTGCAAGGAGGGAAAGGTCACCTTCAAAAGTCAACGCCACTGTGGCCTGGAGCTGGGGGTGGGGGAGATGGAGAGAGGGCTGGGGGTTGAGCCCTCGCTGCGTCCTGGGGCCCGGGCCTGGCCTTGCAGTACCAGTTCTGGACAGCAGAGGGTAACGTGAGCTTGAGGATGCTGAACCTTCAACCCCGGGCAGAAGGAAACAGCTTGATTCAGGGAGTCGGTCCTTTCTGGTGAGGCAAAGCCGAAATCGTGGGCCAGTTCTGTCTCTTGAGGGTCCGTTCTTGCTCCTGTTCACCCAGACCTTTCCTGCAGAGCCCGGTGTTGGCAGAGCCTTACTCCTCCCCAACCCTGGAGCACATACACAGCAGAACCCGTGCGGACTCTGCCTGAGCGGGGCTTGCACAGAGTCGGCTGGCTGGTCCTGCTGGAAGGCGCTGGCCCTCTGAGGGAAGCGCGGTGTGCAGACACGTGCTGTTCCCTTTCTCCTGCGCGTCTGTGTGCTCTTGCTGTGTCCACATCCTTGTACTCCGCACACATGCTGATGAGACGTCCACCGCCGTGTGGACAGGGACTGGGGGCTGTATTTGTGGGCCCCTCGGAGACTGAGTCTATATAAAACTGTGTGTGTGTCTTCCCCGGAGAGTTATGGTATATCTGTGCTTTCTGCCTATTTATGGACTTTTGAATTTGGAGAAGATTCCCCAGTTCATCTAGTCAGCCTCTTCATGTTATGTGGGTGGCAGTTGATCCCTAGGCAGATGAAGTGACTTGGCCAAAGATACATGGCAAGTTGAAAGTTTAAGTGAAAGTTGCTCAGTCGTGTCTGACTCTTTGCCACCCCATAGACTGTACAGTCTATGGAATTCTCGAGGCCAGAATATTGGAGTAGGTAGCCTTTCCCTTCTCCAGTGGATCTTCCCAACCCAGGGATCAAACCCAGGTCTCCTGTATTGCAGGCGGATTCTTTACCAGCTGAGCCACAAGGGAAGCCCAAGAATACTGCAGTGGGTAGCCTATCCCTTCTCCAGGAGATCTACCCGACCCAGGAATTGAACTGGAGTCTCCTGCATTGCAGGCAGATTCTTCACCAACTGAGCTAAACGTGGCAAATTAGTGGTGGGCAAATCAGAATCCTAGTTGCTTCTCCTTAACTCCACAATCCCCACCCCCACCCCCCAACTCTTTTATTGGGACCCCTAGTGGTAAAGATCCTCCCTGCCAGTGCAGTAGATGCAGGTTTGATCCCTGGGTTGGGAAGATACCTTGGAGGAGGGCATAGCAACCCACTCCAGTATTCTTACTTGGAGAGAATCCCATGGTCAGAGGAACCTGGCAGACTACAGGCCATAGGGTCACACAGAGTCAGACATGACTGAAGTGACTTAGCATAGCATAGCATACAGGATGTTATATAACCCAGCCGTGGTCTCTTCTGACTTGTGCCTGAAGTACTCGTGAGCAGGCAGTAGTTTAGGGGAAAAGGTGCTGTTCTGGTTTTTACCCCCCTCACTATTCAGCCTCCCACCCACCTAGTCCCACCCTAGCCCCTCGTCAGCCTTCCAGTCCCCTAAACATCCTTCTTCTCTTACCGTGAATGTTCGCCAAGAAGACTGTCACCCCGATCTTCTCATAGGTGGAGCTCAGCTGTAGGAGTTAGGAGTGTGTTGGGTAGGGAGACAGAAGGAAAGGAATGTTCTGAGTGGGCCTCCAAAGTGATTCACAAAATGCACTTGAGAGGGAAGCCAAACAAATAAGCAACCAGGAGAGCCCTGGCAGCCCAGGATAAAAATAGCAGCAGGGCACACCACTCCTCCCTGGAGTGTTGGCTGACCGCTTCTCTGGAAAGCGGGGCAGATGTGGGGCTTTGCCAACAAGTCAGCCACTTGGTGTCCCCGTGGCCCCTTCTTATGGGGCCAGACCTTTTCTTTCACTAGCTTAGAATCCCAGACCCCACCTCGTACCTGCCTTTGAGGCTTAGGCAGAAGCCGTGGGGGAGGACCACGGCCGGGAGCAGCTAATGCCTCAGCCACCTGGATCCTAGTAGATCCAGGCTGCGGGAGCAGGCTGAGCCCTTGTCTGGGGATGGAGCCGGCTGTGAGCTGGTTGACGAGGCTATCAGCCTCTGTGCTCTCTCGGTTCCTCGGTTTCATTATGCTGCTTCTCTCTGGGCCAGTCCCTGAAATGACTCTGCCATCAGAAGTGGCCACTGAAAAGCTATCAGATGGACGCCATTTATTCAAGCTGCCCTGTGAGCCGTCTGTTTGGCCTAAAGGTGAGGGCCACTGATATTATTTCTTCTTCTTCCCTCGGTTGGCCAGACCTGGCTGATGCTAGGGTGTCTGGGTGAGTGTGGGAAGGAGCAGTAGACCGTGAACCGGGGCAAAACGAGCTCTACTCGGAGGACCCTGGGCCGGGTTCCTGTGTCTGCTAGAGAGGGGTGCTGGGACGGGGTGGACAGGGGGCCCGGTCCTGGGGTCCCTCCCCGGGCACGCACTGTTCTGTGCTGTCTGGGCCTGCTCTGCAGGCAGCATCCTGTCCTGGTGGCATTTAGGAGAGGTTAGGCTCCCTGGTGAGCCTCCTCACTCAGTCGGTCGAAATGAAGCCTCCAGGGAAAGGGAGTGTGGGAGGGTAGGGGTGAGGGGGTCGGGCTGGGGGTGCGCTGGGGCTCCCTCCACCTTGGGGCTCCCTCACCTTGGCCAGGGCTTTGATGCCCATCAGATCCACAAAGCTGACCCCACTCATGTCTAGGACGAGGGTGTGGAAGGTGACAAAGGGTGGGACGCTGGCCAGCATGTCACTGGGCTTAGCAGGGGCTGGGGGCTCGCAGTGGGCAGCGGTGGAGCTGTCAGGGCTGAAGGTGATGTAGGACACACTGGCGCCGTTAGCAGGCGTCTGGTTGTTGTTGGGGTCGGTCGGGGAGCCGTTCTCAAAGTCCTGCTGGAGCTCCTGCAGGGAGACAGTCTGGAGCGGGGAGTGGGAGGGCGGAGTCAGATCATCAGGCTCAATCAAACTTCCCTGTGGCTGAAGCTGGGGCAAGGTGCGTGCAGGTGGAGGTAAATAACCAGACTTCGTGGTGGGGAAGCCAAACCCCTCTAATCCCTGAGGACTGGTGCCTCCCAAAACCTCCTCCTTGAGCAGGTCGGCACGTTTGGAATCCATAACGCAGGCAAAGTTAGAGAGCCCTTCTAAGAGAGGCACTGAAGCTTCAGCCCACTCGGCTCTGGGAAGAAGCCCCTTTGGAAACAACGGAGACCCTTTTTGCATTTACCCGTGTTTACGTTTTCTCTGCAGAATTCCCACATCCACACCCACCTTGCTAGCTCTAGGTTGGCTGGGGACCCCAGGAAATTCACTGCAACTCTTGATCTGGGGTTGCTCTTAGGTCCATGGGCAGATCCCATCTTAGCCAGAAAATGCGGAGGGGGCCTTGGGAGTTTAGTGGTTACCCTGGGAGCTGACGGCTCCTCATCCAAGGAGAAGATACCCACCAGACAATGGCACCCAGCAGTGGCCACAGAGGCTCACTGTCCTTGCCTCCGAGGGTGCTGGGAGGCGAGCACCAGCTAGCAAGGTCAGAGACGGTAAGGGAGAGGGTGTGGGCTGTTCCTAGCCTCAGTTCACCTTGGTTTTCATGAACAGAGACTTCCTCTGTTGCGTGAGCATCGTTCTCCCCTTCTCCTGCTTCTTGAGGTGCTTTTGCTTAGCCAGCAACACTTTCTGGGGGTCCACACCTGTCTGGAGGAAGAGGGCTGAGAGAAGTCTTCACCTCTGCCCTCTCTGAGGGTGGCCGGACCTTGGCTCCCAGCTCCCTTTCTTGCCTCTGCCAGGCACGCTCTGTCCACTCCCTCTGGTCACTGGGAGACTGAGCCTTACCTTGGCCATGACTTTTTGCCTGAAGATCTCTGAGTTGGCGAAGTAGAGAGGAGAGCAGTAAGTGACGATCTTTATACCTTGGATTTCTTGGACCTGTGGCAGGGAGAATCAGCTTAGTCAGCAGCAATATCTTTTATCGGTTTTTCATAAAACCCTTTTATGTGGGGTGATGTAGGGCGAAAGAGGGCGGTCATGATCTTGGATTACCCACCCTATTGTAGGTCTTGGGATTCACGTAAATGTCAGTGTCTGTGCCTTGGGCCAAAGCAGAGCCATTACGACTGGATGAAGAAGGAAAAGACAAATACAAGAGGATGCTGTTAGCAGACAGGCCTGCAGGGACGCTTGGGCTGGGGGCTGGGCCGAGGTAGGGCAGGGGAGGGTCCCGTCCTGACCCTGGGCTTTTTCTGCTCGTCTCTCTGCACTGGAGACACATGCCTGGTGGCCTGAGGCTGGGCTAATAATTAGAGGGTGGGGAGGAAGGTGGAGAATATAAGTGTAAGTGGCCCCAAAGTCACCACTTCTTGGCTCTGAGTTCTCAAGGAGAAGACAGGTCGCTGACTTCAGGATCCTTCCTGCCCTGGACTGGACTCCCCATCTGCTTCACTTCATGTTTTTATGGGAGACACTTAGCTGTCTCCTGGCCCACGGCTCCCTCAGGGTGGGCTGCGGTCTGGTCTGGGGTCTGACGCACTCTTGGAAGGACACTGAGTCTCACCCGCCTGCCCAACCCTGCTTCCCCTGAGCCCCCAGCCCTCTACGACCATGATGGATTCCCCTGGGTTTTCAGGACATGGGAGTCAGACAGCCCGGCCTGTGCCAGTGGTCCCGGCTGGGCCGGGCTCTCCTCGGGGCTGGCAGCCCCTCCAGAGCCAGACCCCGTGGGTAGCGGGGCCCAGGAGCTGCACCAGGCTCCCCGTGGCTGCCCCTGTGGACTGACTGGGTCATGACAGCTGTGCCTTTAGGGGGGGACCATTACTTACAACTGGGTCTGGAAGACCACAACCAGGGCGGAGAAGGTGACCCCCACGGCCACACCGTAGGGCAGGCTCAGGAAGAAGGCGGAGAGGAAGCTCACCACCCAGATGCACTGTGAGGAGAGAGGCGTCAGAGCAGACCCGGGGAGACAGCTGCCCCACTGGGGAGGTCTTCCGGGTCACCAAGGCCCTTCTCTGCTAGCCCAGCCTCAGACCACCCTCCCCTCTTCATGGCAGTTTGGCAGTGTTTCACGTAGGCGAGCTTTGGTGACACTCGCCCATTTCCAGTGGACAGAGGGTGGCTCCCTGATCTGGTCTGGTTGTTAGTAGTCAACCCCCGAACCCACTGGGAGCTGGCATGGCACAAAGACTGGGGGTCTTGGGACAGATATGCCTGGGCTCCAAGTTTCATTGTCCTACTTGTGAATATTCACTTACTAGCTGTGTGAATAATAATACCAGCTTCACAAAAGGATTAAAGAATTAAGGAAGATAGGGTCCTACCAAGCCTAGTGATGGGTGCAATAATGTGAGTTCCATTCCTCCATCTGATAGTAACCTGTGCACTTGACTGGGGCTCAGTTGTGCTTCCTGACCTGATAGCCTGGGGCCGGGTTGTGTGTGCAAGGCGGGAGGGTGAGGGTGGAGGGATGAGGGGTGGGAGGTGGAGGGATGGGGTGTGGGGGTGGAGGGATGTGGGGTGGGAGGTAGAGAGATGGGGGTAAAATGGGAACCCAAAGCGCAATGTGAATACCAGGACTATTGCTGTTGTGGGGTGATGGTTGGGATGAAACAAGAGCAGACCTTCGGGGTGGGAACTGGGGCCTCGTTTTTCTCCCCATCCTTGTCCTTCACATGAGGAGGACCCCAGATGCACCACTCACCTCTCAGACTTTAAGGATTTCCTTTCTTACCATGTAAGTGCCCTTCCCCCCCAGAAGACAGTACAGCTCAGAGGTTTGGAGTCTAACACTTGGGGTTCCAGTCCTACCACTAACTACTTCTGTGGCCTTTGATGAGTTACTTAACCTCTTTGAGCCTTCAGTCCTCATTTTGAAAGGAGGTTAAGAAACCCTCTCTCACAGCTTACACTGGGCTCAAGTGGGGTAAGCAGTGTCGTCGATAGCAGTAGCCTCATTCCTATCCCCCAGTGGAAGATGTGTTGGGAACGTGACTAATCAAAGTGATGTCATGTTTGCTAAGGGTTTCATGGTTACACGCTGCTTTCCAATTCTGTCTCACTGAAGCCTCAGAACCACTGTATGGTGCAGCCATGAATATCACCCCCATCACAGATGGGGACGTAGAACTCCACAAAAATCTTAACCTGCCTAAGATCCTGGTCCACTGGCTTTATGTTCTAGGTTTTTTGTTTTTTAAAACCACAATCACAGACAACTAGCCAATCTGATCACACGGACCACAGCCTTGTCTAACTCAATGAAACTAAGCCATGCCGTGTGGGGCCACCCAAGACAGACACGTCATGGTGGGGAGGTCTGACAGAAGGTGGTCCACTGGAGAAGGGAATGGCAAACCACTTCAGTATTCTTGTCTTGAGAACCCCATGAACAGTATGAAAAGGCAAGTAATAGGATACTGAAAGATGAACTCGCCAGGTCAGTAGGTGCCCAATATGCTACTGGAGATCAGAGGAGAAATAACTCCAGAAAGAATGAAGGGATGGAGCTGAAGCAAAAACAATACCCAGTTATGGATGTGACTGGTGAGAGAAGCAAGGTCCAATGCTGTAAAGAGCAATATTGCATAGAAACCTGGAATGTTAGGTCCATGAATCAAGGCAAATTGGAAGTGGCCAAATAGGAGATGGCAAGAGTGAACGTCGACATTCTCAGAATCAGCGAACTAAGATGGACTGGAATGGGTGAACTGAACTCAGATGACCATTATATCTACTACTGTGGGCAGGAATCTCTTAGAAGAAATGGAGTAGCCATCATAGTCAACAAAAGAGTCTGAAATGCAGTACTTGGATGCAATCTCAAAAATGACAGAATGGTCTCTGTTCATTTCCAAGGCAAACCATTCAATATCACAGAAATCCAAGTCTATGCCCCGACCAGTAATGCTGAAGAAACTGAAATTGAATGGTTCTGTCTCTTCCCTGCTGGCTTAGGGGGTAAAACGTCTGCCTGCAGTGCAGGAGACCCGGGTTTGATCCCTGGGTCGGGAAGATCCCCTGGAGAAAGAAATGGCAACCCACTCCAGTACTCTTGCCTGGAAAATCCCAGGAAGAGAAGAGCCTTGTAGGCTACAGTCCATGGGGTCACAAAGAGTTGGACATGACTGAGCGACAACACAGGTGAAGACCTACAAGACCTTTTAGAACTAACACCCAAAAAAGATGTCCTTTTCATTATAGGGGACTGGAACAGAAAAGTAGGAAGTCAAGAAACACCTGGAGTAACAGGCATATTTGGCCTTGGAGTACGGAATGAAGCAGGGCAAAGGCTAATAGAGTTTTGCCAAGAGAACGCAGTGGTCATAGCAAACACCCTCTTCCAACAACACAAGAGAAGACTCTACACATGGACATCACCAGATGGTCAACACTGAAATCAGATTGATTATATTCTTTATAGCCAAAGATGGAGAAGCTCTATACAGTCAGCAAAAACAAGACAGGGAGCTGACTGTGGCTCGGATCATGAACTCCTTATTGCCAAATTCAGACTTAAATTGAAGAAAGTGGGGAAAACCATTAGATCATTCAGGTATGACCTAAATCAAATCCCTTATGACTATCCCTTATGACTATACAGTAGAAGTGAAAAATAGATTTAAGGGACTAGATCTGTTAGAGTGCCTGATGAACTATGGACGGAAGTTCATGACATTGTACAGGAGAGAGGGAGCAAGACCATCCCCAAGAAAAAGAAATACAAAAAGGCAAAATGGCTGTCTGAGGAGGCCTTACAAATAGCTGTGAAAAGAAGAGAAGTGAAAAGCCAAGGAGAAAAGGAAAGATAAACCCATTTGAATGCAGAGTTCCAAAGAATAGCAAGGAGAGATAAGAAAGACTTCCTCAGCGATAAATGCAAAGAAATAAAGGAAAACAATAGAATGAGAAGGACTAGAGATCTCTTCAAGGAAATTAGAGATACCAAGGGAATATTTCATATAAAGATGGGCTCAATAAAGGACAGAAATTGTAGCGACCTAACAGAAGCAGAAGATATTAAGAAGAGGTGGCAAGAATACACAGAAGAACTGTACAAAAAAGATCTTCATGACCCAGATAATCACAATGGTGTGATCACTCACCTAGAGCCAGACATCCTGGAATGTGAAGTCAAGTGGGCCTTAGGAAGCATCACTACAAACAAAGCTAGTGGAGGTGATGGAATTCCAGTTGAGCTATTTCAAATCCTAAAAGATGATGCTGTGAAAATGCTGCACTCAATATGCCAGCAAATTTGGAAAACTCAGCAGTGGCCACAGGACTGGAAAAGGTCCGTTTTCATTCCAATCCCAAAGAAAGGCAATGCCAAAGAATGCTCAAACTACTGCACAATTGTACTCATCTCACACGCTAGTAAAGTAATGCTCAAAATTCCCCAAGCCAGGCTTCAGTAATACGTGAACCATGAACTTCAAGCTGGTTTTAGAAAAGACAGAGAAACCAGAGATCAAATTGCCAACACTCGCTGGATCATCAAAAAAGCAAGAGAGGTCCAGAAAAATATCTATTTCTGCTTTATTGACTATGCCAAAGCTTTTGACTGTGTGGATCACAATAAACTGTGGAAAATTCTTCAAGAGATGGGAATACCAGACCACCTGACCTGCCTCTTGAGAAAACTGTATGCAGGTCAGGAAGCAACAGTTAGAACTGGACATGGAACAATGGACTGGTTCCAAATAGGAAAAGGAGTATGTCAAGGCTGTATATTGTCACCCTGCTTATTTAACTTATATGCAGAGTACATCATGAGCAACGCTGGGATGGAAGAAGCACAAGCTGGACTCAAGATTGCCGGGAGAAATATCAATAACCTCAGATATGCAGATGATACCACCCTTTTGGCAGAAACTGAAGAACTAAAGAGCCTCTTGCTGAAAGTGAAAAAGGAGAGTGAAAAAGTTGGCTTAAAGCTCAACATTCAGAAAACTAAGCTCATGGCATCTGGTCCCATCATTTCATGGCAAATAGATGGGGAAACAGTGGAAACAGTAGCTGACTCTCTTTTTCTGGGCTCCAAAATCACTGCAGATGGTGATTGCAGCCATGAAATTAAGACGCTTACTCCTTGGAAGGAAAGTTATGACCAACCTAGATAGCATATTAAAAAGCAGAGACATTACTTTGCCAACAAAGGTCCGTCTAGTCAAAAGCTGTGTTTTTTCCAGTGGTCATGGATGGATGTGAGAGTTGGACGGTGAAGAAAGCTGAGCACCGAAGAATTGATGCTTTTGAACTGTGGTGTTGGAGAAGACTCTTGAGAGTCCCTTGGACTGCAAGGAGATCCAACCAGTCCATCCTAAAGGAGATCAGTCCTGGGTGTTCATTGGAAGGACTGATGCTGAAGCTGAAACTCCAACACTTTGGCCACCTCATGTGAAGAACTGACTCATTTGAAAAGACCCCAATGCTGGGAAAGAGTGAAGGCAGGAGGAGAAGGGGACAACAGAGGATGAGATGGTTGGATGGCATCACTGACTCAATGGACATGAGTTTGGGTAAACTCCGTGAGTTGGTGATGGACAGGGAGGCCTGGTGTGCTGCGGTTCATGGGGTTGCAAAGAGTTGGACATGACTGAGGGACTAAACTGAACTGAACTGACTGATTTTGCTTTTTGGAACTATAAAAATAATAGCTAAGTTTTATTGAACACAAGATGCAATTCAGAGAATGTGTTCCTTCCTTGTATTATCTTGTTTCATAAGCATCCCTGGGGGTTGGGGTGGGGGATTGGAGAGTATAAAATACCTGTGATCACGGATGAGGAAGCCGAGACTCAGAGAGGTTAAGGGACTGGCCATCGGTCACAGAGCTGGTGAACAGTTGAGTTAGGATTTGAACATAAACTGTCTCACTCCAAAACCTGAGCTGTTAACACTTGGTTATGCCAATTAGGGCTTCCCAGGTGGCTCAGTGATAAAAAATCTGCCTGCCAATGCAGGAGACACAGGAGATGCTCATTCAATACCTGGGTTGGGAAGATCCCCTGGAGGAGGAAATGGCAACCCACTCCAGTATTCTTGCCTGGAAAGTCCCATGGACAGAGGAGCCTGTTAAGCTGCTGTCCATAGGGTCGCAAAGAGTCTGATCCAACTTAGCGCCTGAGTGCATGCTAATTAGGGAGCAACTGACCAGAGGGATCAGTGACAGAAGTGACAGGCTTGTGGGGCTGGAGGAGGCAATACGTGGGGTACCAGGCAAGACAGGTACCCAGGGGTTGCCTGCTACTTACACAGTCCAGCTTGCTCTTCTTCCACAGGTAGTAGGGATCGGTGAGTTGCTTGAGAGAATTCTTGAGGTTGACAGCAATCAGGGCTCCTAGCACAGACTAGGTAAGCAGAACAATGCTGCCTGTCACCTGGGGTGTGTTCCCTTCTTCCTGCCCTTCCTACAAACCCCTGGCCCTGGGGGCAGGACAGAATTGCAGTTCTAGAACTGGCAGAGCCCCCAAAACTTTGCACTCAACCTTAGGGTTGTTAACTGCAGGTGCTGGAGCCAGAGGGCCCTTGGGCCTGAATTTTGCCATCCCCTCCTTCCTTCATCCCTGGACAGACTGTGCCTAGGGTCTTCTGAGCCAGGGGCCCACAGACGCTGTAAACGCTGACTTGGGTGTGGACCCTGAAGTCAGGAGGCTGGAGTTTGAGACCAGCTCTGCACCTGTGAGCCTTGTCACCGCTTCTCAGCCTCAGTTTCCCTCACTTGTAAAATGGCGAGAGTAAATCCTACACTAACTGCTTTGCAGGTTCTGGCCAGGACGAAGTGTAACAGTGATGGTACTCTGTAACCTGTGAGGCATCACACAGGTCCTAAGGCCTGCTCTTACTGGAGTCTCTCACTGCCTTCTGCTCTGACGCTGTGTCTTACCTTGGGGAGAGCATAGAGATAGGACCCCAGGACCAGCATGGTGACCATCACCACCAGGGACACACACAGGCTTGACACCTATCCAGAGAAAGAGATGGAAACGGGGCGTAGGTGTGAAATTCTTGCTCTTGATTTTTTTTTCCCCAATAAGTGCCTTTGGTGGAGTAGAGACTGAGGAGACGAGAGGGAGGCTGGAGACCTGTTGACCTGGATTCTCTGGGGCAACTGTCCTGCTACACCCAACCCCTTTCCCACTCCCCTGATCCAATGCTCACCTGGGATTTTCCTCCAGCTCCGTCCACGGCCAGAGTGACAGAGAGAGCACAGCAAATGACATGGATCTTAAAGAAGGAGCCGAAGAAGTTGCTGCAGCCCAGGGCGATCATCTCCTGTGGGCACAGGGGCAGGATTGGAAGCTGGGGGTGTGTGTGTGCGGGGGTGGGGCACACGGTACAGACCAAACATAGTCATTCAAGCTAGCTGGATCTTGAACTCGAGAGTGACCCAGCTGCTATAAAGCCATACACTCCCAACCAAGTAGAAGTCAGCCAAAGAGCCCCTTGACATCCCTCGCCAGGCCTCTGTGGGCCCCGGCCCGGCCTGCTCAGCCCTGCTGGGAGTGGCTGGACCTACCTGGTTAGCATCCACATCATAGCCGTGCTTGTTGGCCAGGGTCCGGCCCATAGCCAGGTTGATGACATAGCCCACGATGGCCAGGGAGAAGGCCGTGCCAAGCATGTCCTTCCACTGCGAAACCACAGGCGACACGGGAGTGGGGAAGCTGTCAAGGAGCCAGAAAGGAGGCAGGGCCCAAGGGTGTGAGGAGGGAGCCGCAGCGGGCACCAGAGCCCACTCCGCTCCAGGGCCTCTGCGTGAATCCCCGCTTCCAAACGGGGCGCTCAGTGCCCTGCTGCAGAGCAGCTACCGTCCTCCCCTTGAAACAGCAAAAATCGAGGCTCAGAGAACACAGCTTATCTGAGGTCACCACGCTAGTAAGCGGCAGGGCCTCATTTGTTCACATCCAGAATTTGGACTCCTCACTCTTCCCGGTCCAGAGCCACAGCCCTCAGTGCTCTGAGGCCTTTTTTGCATTGTCTTCTCCAGCTCTGCCATATAAAAACCGGTCCTCTCCTCCTAGGGCCCAGCACAGTCCCTGGCACAGAGTAGACACTCAGTGAATTCCGTTGATCCTAATAGCTTTTATTCCGTGTGGATAGAAGAGCCAATGCATTAAAGCAAGGCAAAGAACCAGAGAACGACTGATCAGAGAGGTTTCACCCATCAGATGAAACTTTTGGGGGGAGTGTGGCAGTCAAGGGGGCTTCCCAGGTGGTGAAGAACCAGCCTGCCAATGCAGGAGACATAAGAAACATGGGTGCGATCCCTGGGTTAGGAAGATCCCCTGGAGGAGGGCATGGCAATCCACTCCAGTATTCTTGCCTGGAGAATCCCATGGACAGAGGAGCCTGGTGGGCTATACAGTCCATGGGGTCGCAGAGAATTGGACATGACTGAAGTGACTTAGCATGCACACACATGGCTGTTAAGAATCACTGTTCATGAAACAGCCCGCATTGTGTGGCTCTTCTCATAATAAGTGATAGTAACCATTCATAGCTGATCAGTGTCAAGGACTTCATAGTACAATTTATAGAGTTCATCTCATCTCTGACTCTGAACCTAGGTGGGGCGGAGAGTGGGGGTGGGGCCAGGCTTCCTAGCCACCTGGACTCACCCAGGTTGGACCTCTCCCACGATCTGCATGTGGTATTTTTTGGGCATCTTGTAGCTCCCAGAGATAGCTGTTGCCACCACTACCTGCAGAACCCAGAATGGAGAATGGGGATTAGATCTAAATTAGGGCCAGGGTAGGGGTCCCTCTCTAGTCTCCCTTTTGTCTGGGGACCCCAAATCCCCCTCCCCTGACTCCTTGAGGGGGATCAGCCTGAGGATCAGGAAGAGGGGGAGCCACACACAGGGGGATGGAGTGCATTTACCCTAGACCTGTCCTACCGGCTCATAGGGGGCAAGCTGGTGGGGGAGGGATGCATAGAGGGACTCTCTTCATTCTGGCTGGAGCTAGATTCCTTTTCGACAGCCTCCTGCCTGGGCCCCAACACCCCAGCCCTGGGCAAGGTCCTTACCACAATCATCTCTGTTGGGATAGGGAAACGGATCCTGTGCATGTAGCGGGCATTGAGCTCCTTCACCAGCACCAGGACCACACCGCTGATGAGAGCGAAGATGAGCGAGGCGATGTTGGTATGAGCGAGGTTTTTGCAAATGTCAATGAAGGTCTGGGGGAGAGAGCATGATGCTCATGGGCTCCCACCCCTTCCTCCTGCACCACTACCACCCAGCATCTGAGCCAGTGGAGGGACATTGTCAGGGCTCTGAGAGGCACAGCAAAGCAGAATCCAGACTCTACTCACAGTCCCACTTCCCACCCCTGTCTCCATGCTGGGACGGGGAGGCTGATGCCCTTCCTTTTCCTCTAGGAAGAGTTCAAGCTAGTGGAGGAGGGATGGCGATCAGACATAAGGAAGAACTTTTCAGGTAGGGAGGGGTTGAGGCACTGGAATGGGGAACTGGTGGAGAGTGTTCATCTCCTTTTCTGCAGCAATTAACCACGGCGATTTGACCATACTTTGGCTGCCTGATACAAAGTGCTGACTCATTGAAAAAGACCCTGATGCAGGGAAAGATCGAAGGCAGGAGGAGAAAGGGGCGACAGAGGATGAGATGATTGGATGACACCACTGACTCAGTGGACATGAGTTTGAGCAAGCTCCGGGAGTTGGTGATGGATGGAGAAGCCTGGCGTCCTGCAGTCCATGGGGTCTCAAAGAGTCAGACACGACTGAGTGTCTGACAACCACAGAACCTCAGCCAGCCTTCAAGGTCACGTGTTTGACCCTCCCTCCCCAAATGGGAACCTCTTGAAATCCGCTCTGAACAATGGGTCAGATGGCCTTTGCTTGAGAACATCTCATAACGAGGTGCTCACAACTTCTCAAGACAGTGAACTTGGCTCACGTGTCTGCTCAAGACCCTCTCGCAGGGGTGCACTCATAGACTCACAAAGACGATGGACCCTGGGCCTGCGTAGGAGGGGACGGTCAGTCCGAAGATATACTTGAGCACGGAGATCAGGATCTGCAGGCCAGCGGCCGTCATGAAGCCCCGGATGAAGGACTCAGAGAGGTAGATGGCCACAAAGCCAAACTGCATGAAGCCCAGGCCCATCTGGGAGCAGAGGGGTGGTGGAGTCAGACCATGATGGGCCAGCCACTCTCACACCTGCTGGGCCCAAACCCAGGACTGGAGTTCATGCAGCCCTGAGACAGTAGTAGCTCTAGGAAAACAAGTCCCTTGTGACCTTGTCCTGCCTTGTACTGACAGAGAAAATTAGTCCCTCGGGGCACAGGCCTTTGACACTTGACCTCATTGGCTCCAGTTTCCTCCACTGGGAATGAACCTGGTACTCGCCAGTGTTTGCCCTCTCAGTAATTGACACCCCGTCCGCCCAGCTGGCCAACCCAGAACTTGGAAGTCATCCCCCCTCACCTTTCATTTCTAATATCCCAAGCCCTGTTTATTTTGTTCCTGGCAAAGCGTTCTCCCAGTCTACCCCTGCCTCCTTGCCTGCCACTCTGGTCTAGGCCCTTATCACTCTTGCATGTGGGCCTCTTCACAGTCTCGCAACTGGCCCCGTGCTTTGATTCTAATCTACTTTCCATCCACCGTCTTCTCCAGAGTCTGAGTAATGCAATCTGACTGCCAAATAGGAACCAAATTTGCTGCTTAGGGGACAGATCTCAGCCTTGACTGTCTGGCCCTGCCTCTTCTCTGGCTCATTCTCCCAAGGTCTCCTGCCCTCCGGCCACACCGAGTGCCCTGTTTTCCGTCCCCTGGTCAGTTCACGCTCTGTTAGGCCTCAGTGCTTTGGGGTGCTGCTCCCTCTGACGGGACTGTCCTTCTGGGCCTCTTTCCTTTGGTTACCTACTGGCCAACTTCTACTCATCCTTTTAGACTGAGGTCAAATGTCACTTCCTCTCTTTGAGGAGAGGCCTTCCCTGACTTTCTCTTTGATGTTCCCAAAGCTGCTTGTATATAGCTCTATTCTGCTGCTTATCTTACTGCCTACACATTTATTTGTTGATTTGGCTACTTCCTCCGCTGGGCTATGAGCTTCTGGAAAACTGGGCCTCTCTCTCTTACTTATCTTTTATCCCCAGAGCCTAGCCCAGTTCCTGGCATGGTGAAACAACCAAAAAACATTAACTGAATGGATCAATGAATGAAACTTCTGAGGCCCCTTCCTGCTCTTACATTCTGCCCTGCTGCATTTGCCTGCATGAAGCCTAGCAGAGTCCTTTGCATGTGGCGGAAATGCAATTTATCTCATGCAGGAGGTGCTGTGGCTTGGAGCAGAGACGGCTGGAAGGGGATAAGGGGTGTTACAGAAATGGAAAACTGCTGGCAGAGAGCTGGGCACTGGAAAGGGTATCGGAGAGAGGCCATGAGTCCTCTAGACAGTCATTAGCTCCGGACACTTTTACTAAGTGTGGATGCTGGTCTTATGCATCTGCTGAGGGCAGATGAGATATTCTGAATTTTTAAGGTCATTTGGCCTCCAAACAGGGAAGAGGGAGGATGGAGAGGCCTAAATCTGCTTTAAGGTCAAGGCTGGGCCTCTGTGGGAAGGGCAACATGAGCTGATGCCTTATTATGGGGGGCATGGCAGAGATGGAAGCTGAGCTTTTTACCTGGATGACGGCCGTCAGGCAGGCTAGCGTTGCTGACACATGCAGCCTTTCGGCCTCCATGGCCCCCGTGTCCACATAGCTTTCATTGGTGGCATTGTTGAAGACCCGGAATTTCGACTCTGGGGCCAGCTGCAGACAGATGTTACCCACCAGGATGCTGATAACGGCAAAGGTACCTGTGGTGCCCCACCCCGCCAGCAAAAGTCAGAGGTTTGGACTGCACCCATGGAAACCAGAAGGGGCCCAGAACGCTCCCCAACCCCTGCAGGGATGGCGCTCCATGCCTCCAGGGTCCTCTCCAGCATCACAGTAACCATTCGTATCTGACCATGATCTACACTCTTCCAGGTGCTTTCACCCCACCTGTTAATATTCCTTTATTGGACACGTGAGGAAACAGGCTTGGAAATATAAGCAGAGCCTGCATCAGAAACAGGCTGTTTGACCAGGCCGTTTTCCTCCATCTCATTTTGCACCAGAGAGCTCCGAATGTCCCTGAAGTGGCCTGATGGATGATGGTTGTCGGAAGGCCATTTCTGTTCAGCCCTTTATGGCCTATCTTGTGCTGCCAAGTCTTCCGCACATTCCAGGGTCATGCTAACTGAGCTCACGGAAGCTAAATGGCTTCTCCAAGGTCACAGAAGACCTGGGATCGACACTCATAGTGACAGTCCCTCTGGGGCCAAGCAGCGCCAGCTGGAGGAGAATGCGATGGGAAAGTACCCAAGTCCCCTTTGCCACCCACCACCCATCCCCGTGGTCTAGGTCACCTGCCTGCTAAGAAGGGAGGGGCCTTACCTGGCACCATCTGGTGGATACCCCCCAGGAAGAAGTAGGTCAGGAGGGGGAAGAAAGAGGAGTAGAGGCCGTTGACTGCAGGAAGGTTGGCCAACAGAGCGAATGCCATGCCTGCACGGGACACAGAGAGTCAAGGCCCTGGGGCACAGTTGGGTGATGGAGGTCACAGAAGATGGACTGGGAAGGGGAATAGGCTTGGCTTAGGGGACCCCCCTGACCTTGTGGGACCTGGATGCATCCACCGCTGAGGCCGCCAAGAAGGTCGGGGATGATGTATTCTTTGATCTTGTACTTGGGGAGCCAAGAGAGAATGGGGAGCAGCCCGAACACTGTGGTTTTGATCTTGGCTGAGGAACATCTGGAGGGGAAGAGGGTAGGTTTTCAGTCAGCACTGCATTCAGAGTGGGGAATTGATTACAATATCCTGTTCTTGGTCATTCATTCGCGCATTCACACAAAATTCAGTGAGCATGCACAATATGTGGCAGAGACTCTCCTCTTGAGAGCCGTCACCTTGCTCTGGGCCCTGGTTGGAGATCTTTTGATTGCCTACTGCTAACCTGGGAAGTCTGCAAGACTTGTCATGCAGAAAGGCATGGATTTTGTGGATGCTTAGCATTCCGAGGTGTCAAGTCCAGCTCAGACGGCTGTTCTCTGATCTGACTGAAAACAGGCCCGGTCACCCTCACCTGGGCTCCTGCAGCAGTGTGTGTACCTCGGGCTGTAATTTCTTGCTTTTCATCTGCCTCCCCCACTACACAGGAAAACCAGCATGGAAAGAAGTCTGGTCTCTTGTCTAGCTTTGTATTCCTCATGCATCACACTGGGATGCTTAGTGAATATCTGTTGAAAAAAATGAGTGAATGAACAAGTAAAAGAATGGGCCTGATTCTGATTCAGAACTCAGTCTGAATGGGGGCTGCTGCTGTATTTTTTGGAAGCTCCCCCTAAAGGGAGGCTCCTCTGTCCCTGCAGGGTGTGCCTCTGCTGACCCACCATCCTTTGTGTGTGACGATTCCAATGCTGGAGTTCTTTCCCCTGTTAATTCATCAAAAGAGGGAAGAATGGGGAAACTATTTGTTGGTCAGCCCAGGGTGGGGAGCATTGATCCCTCCCCTGTTTGCTGAACACCTTGAGGTCCTTTCATCAGAAACTCAGAAGCGGTAAAAACAAGGGCCTTCAATCTCAAGGATGACAGCTGGTGGATTGATGACCAGAAGAGGTGGGGAGGCCTTTGCTTTTCTTCTCCCAGCTGAGGGAATTCAAATACTCAGGGCCCATCTGGTGACTCACTGGCTTGCTGTGATTAGGCCTCCTTTCCTGCCCAGCACCGATTCCTGTTCTTTACTGTTGCTCAACAATAGTTTCCCTGACACTGGGTCCCCTGGATGTCACCCAAAACTGAAATCAACACAGACAATGCTTTGTACCCTTTAAAATCTGGGTAGATTTTCTGTCCCAACCAGCACTTCATGGAACAGCGTCACCACTGCCTTTGAACTCCCCAGTCCCCTCTGCAGTGGGTAGTGCTTCTCCCATCCCTGGGATGATGGACAGGTAGTTGGACTGGAAGTAAATAGCTTAAAGCATTTCTAAAGGCTTGTCCTAAGAGAAAACCAGGCCCCCAGGAACACTCTCAGGTTTGTTCATGGCAGGGAAAACTGGACTCATGAATGGAGAGCTGGCTGGGGGAGAAAAACAACCCACTCAAGGGCATGTACATGTCCAGCCTCACTTGCAAGCCTGCCATAGTTGAGCAAAGCAATCTGACTTCTCTGAAGTCTGAGAGAAGATCTGGAAACAGATGCTAAACACCTGTAGAGAGGTTTCAGAAGCCAGGTGGGAAGTAGATAGCGGGATTAGTTTTCTAGACATTCATTCATTCATTAAACAAAAATTTATTGGAGTACCTTCTGTGTGCCAGGCACTGTTCAAGGCCCTCCTGCCAGTCACATGGGAATTGTTAGCTCCCTATGACTTTTTGTGGTTTCCATCATCTTCATCTTTTAGGAAAACAGCAGATACCCTCATCCCTCCAGTACAGAAACAACACAGACTTAAACTCCTTGGCACAAATGCTGACAAGGTCTTTATATAACCAGGCAGAGATGGAGCCTCCCAGGAGAGGTAGGGCTGGGCTGGTGCTTTTAGTGAAGACTCAAGTGGGTGATCCCCCAGCCTGAACCAGTTCCACCTGCACCTCCACTTCAGCCATTGCCAGTGACCTCAATTCAGGTAACTGAATCAGCTGTTTCCCCAGGGGAGTGGGGAAGTGACTTCTGCCACGGACCACAGTGAGGCCTGAGGGAGGTCTACCAGATGTCTGCGAAGGGGGGTGAGGTAAAGTCCATAGCCTCAGCCTCCTGGAGTGTGGGTATAAGTCACCTCACAGAGTTCCCTCCTTATGGGTGTGGTTTCACTACCCACCAACACAGTTCCAGGGATCTGAGAGTGGAACAAGCCCAGGGGCTGGTGAGACCACATCCTGGTAAGTAACCTTTAGGGGAGCCCAGGAGTTTAGGGGCTACCTTTGAGCACTGTCTGGACCTGGGAAAGGAAGGAGCATCCAGGAGAGAAAGAGGACAAAGTACACGGGCTGGGAGAGGCTTCAGATTCTCCTTGATGAGGAAGAGACAGGAGAAGGGACAGCAGAAGTGAGGGCTCTGACCTGCTGTGATGACACACCCTTCCCCAGCACCCTTGAGAGCCCAGGAGGTGCTCACATGGGCTGAGAGCATGGTGAGACCTCACGCAGGGGTCCGGACGCTGGCCAGCCCCTCTGGAACCTGTGAGTGGTCCTTGTCCCTGCTCCCCATTTCCTCGAGGGCCTCAGTAAAGATGAGGTGTCGGATCTCCTGCTCCCCATTTCCTCGAGGGCCTCAGTAAAGATGAGGTGTAGGATCTCCTGTTCCCCATTTCCTCGAGGGCCTCAGTAAAGATGAGGTGTAGGATCTCCTGTTCCCCATTTCCTCGAGGGCCTCAGTAAAGATGAGGTGTATTCAGGGCTCAGAACCTCACCTCCCCAAGGCTTCCCAAGTCCCGTCTGAGGGACAGCGGTATAGGAGCCGTGCCCTGGTGCGGGGAGGGTTGGTGGGGAGCAGAGGAGAGAGGAGTCTGGGCTTCCAGCCATGTTACCTGAAAGTGTTGCTGAGTTTCTCTCCCAGTGGGTACGTCCGGTCCTTCTTCTCAAACTCGTCATCGAAGAGGGTGAGAGAGTATGCATCTCTGTCCACCACGTAGCGGGGCCTGGGCTGGCTCATGTCTGGGGCATTTACAAGCTTTGGGAGACACAGAGGAGGGAGGATGAGGGGCATCCCTTCTCAGTGCCAGCCTGGGCCATCTCTCTCTGGTCCTAGCTCAGCAGGGTTTTATGCTGTCTTCCCCGCCCCCAGCCAGCAAGGTGCCTCCCTTCCCTCTTTCAAGTCTTTCCACCAGACTCACTTCTCCTGGTGGCCTTCCTTCCCAGGCACAGGTGATGCATACACTTGCCCTGGCTGTTTTGCTTGGCACCCAGCACGTGGTTGGCACTCCACATCTATGATATCACTGTCACCCCCGCTGAACACCAGGCAACAAGGAGGCGGGAGTGCAAGGGCAGGAGTCACAGCTCGGATTCAGCGGGTTGATCCTCTCCCTCCTTTCCTGCCATCCTCGCCCCAACCCACGCTGGCCCCTGGTATCCTTGCAAGCCCCTTTGCCCCGCACCGCCCCCCACCCCCCCCCCCCCACTCCCCCCACCCCCACCCTCCCCCAGCCGCCAGACTTCAGTTTCCCGGGCAGAAAGGCTCATACCATCTTGTCAGTCAGCTTGGAAGAAAGAAAGCAGGCTGCCTGGAGGCAGGGGGATGGCCAGGGTGACTTTGGGAGGACCTTCTTAAAGGAGTCACCTAGGAACAGGTTTTCCCAGGGGGACAGTGGTGTTTGGGGAAATCAAGACAGTCTGTGCTGGCTGGCTCTCCCACGGCTTCCTGTGTCTAACCTTTCCCCCACCCTGTATACTGATGTCTCTCTCCTCCTTGCTTTTTGCGCAACCTTGCTGACATTCCAGGAGCTGAGCAGGGCAGAGCTAAGTGCTGGGGCCCTGAGGCCCACAGCTCCTGGTAGAGATCTTTCCTCCTCATCCTCCAACTGCTGGTCCCCACTCCTGTCCCCTGCCCACCTGCCCACCGCCCCCAGAGCTGGGAAAAGCCTGCCTGGACGACCTCAGAGGAAGAAGGGGGAGAGGAGGAGAGGAAAGAGATGGCATAAGCTTAGGGGGAGATGATGTCTCGCAGGTGGAGATTGTGGGATGGCTGTAACCAGTTTGGCAAAAGATTTGAGAGAGAGTTAAAAGTGAGAAACCACATAGGGGACTCAAGATGCTCCTCCACAGGCTTTCTGGGGGAGAACCTGGGTGAGTGACAGGTTGTCAGAGGGGAGCAGGCTGGTTGATGTTTTTTGTGGAAGAGCACCCTGGGGGAGAGGAGGAAATGCCTTAACTACGGGCCCAGAAACTTGGGTTCTAGTGCTGCCTTTACTGATGAAGTGGAAGGGGCAGCATTCCTTTCTGAAACTCAGATTCCTCATCCACAAACCTGGGGGACCATAGGTACCTCACAAGGTTGTTTGAGGATCAGATGAGTAAATGGACAAGAAAGGCTTGTGTGAAGCGTAAGAGTGAGATAAATGTAAGTTGCTGTTGTGGATAAGACTGTGTCCAGGTAGATGCAGGTCAGGCTGCTGTGTCTCATTCACTGGGCCACAGGACCCTGAGTTCCACCAGGACCTGTAAGCATGGTGCCCTGCAGAACCCCCCAGATGCTGCTCAGCTGGCGGGGCAGTTGTGGGGTGAGCCTGCCCACAGTGCCTGGGCCCACACAGCCCTTTGCCTGGTGTTTACTGTGCACCCAACAAACGCTTGTTGAGTGAATCAATAAATGTTCTTTTGGAGAACACATGCATTGAACTGAACAAGAGTGAAGGCCCGTAAGATATTTCAGTGGGGCAAGTGAGAGACTGAGTGGCATAAGGAAAACAGCACGGGTTTTGGAGCCAGGATGACCTGGGTTCAAAGATTCGGTTTCTTCGTCTATACATGGGGATAATAACAGTCCCGGGCATTTGCCATGAAGACTAAATGAGATCATGAGTGAAGTCTGGTCTTCCAAGGGCACCCAGTGAATGGTAACGGGGATGACTACTATGATTAAGATGGGAGGGTGCTTCCTTCCTCTTGGGAGAGGCTGTTCAGAGGCTTCCAGCCCTTCACCTCCAATGAGGCAGGGTGGCCTCGCTTCCCCTTCCCCGCTCCACCCTCTCGTTGGGCCTGGAAGGGTCCGACCTTCCCAGCACTTTGCCTGGTAGGCTCTATGGGAGAAATGAGTGGGGGTCATGACCCTCTGGAGGGACCCCAAAATCCAGCCTGGCTTCAGAGGAAGACTCAGACTTGGGGAGTCTATGCCTGGCCACCAAATGGACCACTTATAAAGGAATAGTAGGGGTCTTCAAGGGAGCTGCACCAGGAGAGGGAAGAGGGGGCAATAGAAGATCTTGTTTCCAGGCCAAGCAGCACGCAGTGATCCCAGAGGCTCTGCATTCTAGGGATGTGTGTTGGGGGGAGAGAGGGTGGTCAGTATCTGATCCCACAGAACCAACTCACCCGACTCCCTTGCTTGGCTCCCTCAGGTCCTCAGTGGCACCTTTCGCTACCCGGCATTCTTGTCCCTGCTCTTACCCTCCTGCAGCCTCCACATTCAGCAGCCCATTAAACCCCATCGCTGTTTCCTTCTGGTGTCACTCCCAGGTCTTATCTCACACCTGGACTATGGCATTAGCCTTTTGACCGATTCCCCAGCCCACACCCCCAGCTCAGAAACTCTCAGCTTCCTCGTGTCCAGGAGCGGATCAAGTCCAGACTCCTTATTTTGGCATGTTTGTCTGCGCATCACCTGACCCTGGTTTGGTGGACTCAGTAGATCTGTAGGTTGCACCTGCCCTCTGTATCCAGGCTGTCCACTCACCCCACTGAGCAAGCTTCTTCAGTTTTCCCTCTGGAGCTCCGTCCATACTTTCCACCTTACCTGAGATGCCCTGACTCATTCTGCCCTCACTCAGCCCTGCCCAGTCTTAAGACCTGCTAGGTTCCTCCTCCTCCCTCTCTTCCTTCTCCCTGCCCTCCTCATTTTCTCCGATGCCTTTCCTGATCACTCTGGCCTGGGATCTCTTTCTCCTCAAAACTCCTTTCTTTGGGCCCCTCCAACCTGCACACCACTATTGGCTTCCAGCACAGGGAGGCAGGAAAAGGGGCATTGGTGCTGGAAATCCTTTCGAGAGCACAGATGAATTTGGACGACATGGGACTGTTTCCGCCCTTGTGGGCAGGCTTTATAGAGACAGGGCCTAGATGCTAGGGGAGTTCCCACTGACAAAGGAGAGAAGATGCCTCCCTTTACTGGAATGTAAAATCTGCCTCTCTCCCCATACATTGGTTGTCTTCTTCTAGACATGGGTGCTGAAGGGAAGAAGGCTCTGGGAGGTTTTGCAACCCTGAGTGTGCACTGTGTATAAAAATGAGAACCCAGCAGCCCTCCAGCCTCAGAAAGCTTTGTTCAGAAGGGGACCTGAGGACCAGGCAGGTCCAAATCTCTCCTTTTGTGGACGAGGAAACTGAGTCTCAGAGGCGGGAATTTGAGCCAGGCCTTTGATGCCAACTCAAGGGCTCCTGTTGAAAAGGTCTCAGACCTTCCAGAGATGACTCTGGCTTCCCTGAGAGGCAATGGACACCTCATGACCTTCCATCCCAGCCAGTGATACAGGATGTCCAGGTTCTGCTCTTCCTCCTGAGGGCTCTGTGGGAGGTTCTGGTTCCTCCCCGGACCTGGACTTTCCCAGGACAGGGACAGACAGAGCGGCAAACCTGCAACCACAAGAGCTGCCCCAGCTCCTGGTGAGGAGGTGCCCCGGTCATACTTCCTAATTCCAAGACTAGGGGTTGAGGCTGGGTGGGGCTTCAGAGGGGAGGTTACTTCATCCCCAGCCAGTCCTTCAGGCCTGGAGGAGGGGGGGATGGGAGAGAGAGACGGAAAACGGTGAGCTGGCAGAGTGGTGGGAGGCACCGCCTCTCCTAGATGGCTCCCGGGGTTCTCAGAGTCCAGGGCCTCCCAGGGACCCCCAGGAAGGGCTCCTACAATGCCCAGTTAGGGGCGCGAAGGTGAAAGAGGGAGCAAAAAAGGGAGGGGGTGTAGGGAACATGAAGACTTGATCCCTGGTTAAACAAACACACAGCCCTGCCAAATGATGTCAGCATGGCTGAAAAAAGTCAAGTGCTCTATTGCCATAGGTGTGTATCACCCAGCCTGCCTCTCATCAAACTGTGTGGGCCCCTCCAGAGTTCCCCATCCCCCACTGGATCAGGGACAAACAGCAGGTGCCATGTGACAATATGGAGGAACAAAAGGGTGCCCCGCCCCTCCCCAGTGTGGAGGCAAGGAGGGAAGGTCCTGAGTTGCTGGAGGGAACTACAGTGGGGCGTGGGGCTTAAGGGCAGCAGAAGGTGAGAAGAAAAGCGAGAGGGTAGGAGAGGTGGGTGTCTGGACAGTCCCCAAGGCTTGGCAGGGGACTGGGGTCACATCTGGGGCAAGCGGGGATCGAGGGTTTTGCAGAGCTAGGGAGCTGGGGGTGGGGACAGGGGGAAATGGACTCCGTCGGGAGGGCGCAGACAAGAGCAGACACTCCTCTTGGGTTCATCCTCAGAACCTTAATCCCCCTGCAGTGAGCTCATTCGAAAGAAGGCCCACTGCAATCTCCTCCCAGTTGTACTTCTGACAAGGTCTGTCTACAATGCCCATGAGAATGCTGTGGGCAAAGATGGGCTTGGGCATCGTGCCCGAGTGAAGGCATAGAAAGGCTTGGAACGGTGCCCAGCCACGGTATGTGAGCAACAAATTTGCACTGTGATTATTATTACTCCGATTACCCTGGAGGGGTCTCTTCATCGTGCCTCTGTAACCTCAGGCAGGTCATTCTGCCTTCCTTGGGCTTCTTTTTCCACTCTGCTCTGACTTACCTCCCACCCACCCTTCCCCATGCCCTTGTTCCTCTGGAAGTTTCCAGGACTGGTGAGAGGAGGACGGAGAAGTCATTTCAGAAGGGGCAGGACACCTGGGGAGCAGAGAGCTGCAGAGCCCGTCTGTGGGGTGTCAGTGGCCTGGGGGTGATCCCATCATTGTGGCCTAGGCTGACTTCCTCCTCAGCCCTGCGGGGTGTGTGTGTGTGTGTGTGT